TAGTACCTGCCATTACTAAACATTTATTCAGTTCTCTATGTTGTTGTTCACATCTTGGTTCTTTTTTTAGAATTATCATTTAACTTCCTAATGTTTTAGTTATCTTTTCATTAAAAAAAATCAAATTTTAACTGTTTTTGAAAACTAATACATACCATTACATTCAAAAGCTGTGAAAGGGGGTGTGCTAGCACACACCTGCAATCTCAGTGATTTAGGAGGCTGAGGTAGGTGGATCACAAGTTCAAGACCATCCTCAACAACTTAGTAAGACCCTCAGCAATTTAGCAAGACTGCCTCAAAATAAAAAAATATAAAAAGGACTGGGAGTGTAGCTCAGTGGTAAAGCACTGGGGATTCAATCCCCAGTACCACTCCACCAAAAAAGAATCTGTGAAAGGGTATACAGGGACATTTCCCTGTCACATTGTTGTCTCCCAGCATTAGTTGTCCCCGCACCCCAGCTTATATTGCCAATTTTAGGTGTCGTCGTAGTTGGCTGTATATCCATGTAATTAAGCCTGTTGTGATTTTCATGTCTCTGTGTCATCTCATTTTGGGTGCTAACCTGAGTTGAAATTTGCCGTCATGTAGATCTTTCAGTTTACCTTATGAATGAATTGTTTGATATGGTGGTGGTTGTTGTTTGTTTGGTATTGGGCATTAAACCCAGTGGTACTTAACCACTGAACCACATCCCCAGCCCTTTTTGTTTTTTTATTTTGAGACAGGGTCTTGCTAAGTTGCTTAGGCCCTCATTAACTTGCTGAGGCTGTCCTCAAACTTGTGATCCTCCTGTCTCAGCCTCCTGAGTTGCTGGGATTACAGATGTATACCACCACACCTGGCTTGGCTTTATGTATTCTTGTGGTATTTTAGGGTCGAGCCTTTTGAAGCTTCCTGATAATTTTTTATTCAGAAATGTTCTACTTATTTGAAACACATGATATACATAATGTATAATTTTTGTTTCAATTAGAAGAAAGTCCTAATTATTTAGTTCATTTCAAGAATCTGTCTTTAATACTTTCCATTTATAGGATTACAAAAAAACATTTGACTGTTAGGACTTTCATATGACTCAATAATGAAATATTATATTTTCTGGAGACAGTATAACATGCAATCTTAAACTGTTTGGAGACCTAGTTTTCCATTTTAGTAAGAATTGGTTCTTAATGCTGTAGTCATTTCATTGACTTAATAAATATTTGAGCTTCTTTGTGCTAGATGCCAGTGAAGAAGCAAATTTGGGGGGTGGTGATACACTTAGAAGTATACAAACTTTAACAGATAATTTGTATTGTTGGAAAGTGATAAGAGCAGGGTAAGGGAAATTGAGAGTGTTTATGGGAGAAGTACTGTAATACATCCTTACTGAGAAGGTGACACTTGAATGAAATTAGCCTTTTGGGTATTCTGTAGGAGAGTAAGGTCAGTGCAAAGGCCCTGAAAAAGGCCTGTGAGGAGGCTGATGGAGCTGGAGCTGGGGGATGGGAATATGTAATTGGGTTGGACCTTGTATGATTTTGTAAGAGCCCTAGTTGAAAGCTAATGGAGGGTACAGAGGAATAAAATTACTGATTTCTGTTTGAAAAAGATCACTGGTTGTTGGGTTGATTGGAATACATTTTCTTTTTAATTAAGCAGCAAAAATAAATAAAAACAAATAAATAAATAAATAAATGTAGGGTTTTTTTTTTTGGGGGGGGGGGTACTGGGGTACTTAACCACTGAACCACATCCCCAGCCCTTTTTTATATTTTATTTTGAGACAGGGTCTTGCTAAGTTGCTTAGGACCTCACTAAGTTGCTGAGGCTGACTTTGAACCTGTGATCCTCCTGCCTCAGCCTCCCAAGCTGCTAGGATTACAGGTGTGCGCCACTGTGCCTGCTGGAATTTTAATAGCAAATGATCTTTATGTATTTTTATGTTAAGTTTGTTCAAGAATCAGTTAACACCTACCATGAGCATTTCCTCTGTGGCTCATCAAGGTTATAGACAAGTGAATAAAAATGTGGTTTTCTTCTAGGGTCTGAAGTGTAGAAAATTTGATTTCCCATATGTAAATTTATTTGTAAATAGCCATTCTTTTTTTTATTATTTTTTAAGTGTAGTTGGACACAATGCCTTTATTTTATTTACTTATTTTTATGTGGTGTTGAGGATCGAACCCAGGGCCTCACATGTGCTAGGCGAGTGCTCTACCTCTGAGCTACAACCCCAGCCCCTATAAATAGCCATTCTTATAGTCTTTTTATTTTGATCATTAACTTAGCAGTTAGCATTGAAATCTTAAAATTGTTGTCCATGTCATTTTTCATTAATTTTCTGTCATACGTTTCATTCTTTTTCTTTTTCAGTGAGATTTTTTAAAATACTTATATATATAAGAGTACACTGGGGGTGCTGGGGTTGTGGCTCAGTGGTAGAGTGCTTGCCTAGCATTCAGGAGGCATTGGGTTCTATCCCTGCCACCATGTACAAAATAAACAAAATAAAGGTATTGTGTCCATCTATAACTAAAAAAAAAAAAAATTAGAAAAGGAATATACTGGGGATATAGCTCAGTTGTTAGAGTGTTTGCCTTGCAAGCACAAGGCCCTGGATTCAATCCCCAGCAACACACACACACACCAAAAAAAAAAAAAAAAGAATACACTGTATATTTTCGTCTCTCCTAGAGCCATTTTGGCTATTAGGATATTTTGGGGGTTTGGGGGGTGCTGGATAGTGAACTCGGGGACATCCAACTACTGAGCCACATCCCCAGCTCTATTTTTTTGTTTTATTTAGAGACAAGGTCTTACTGAGTTGCTTAGTGCCTCGCAGTTGCTGAGGCTGAGGCTGGCTTTGAACCTCCTCCTTCAGCCTCCTGAGCCACTGGGATTACAGGCATGCTCTACCACACCTGGCTATTAGGATTTTTATAAAGAGAGCTGCTCTGATTTAAAAACTACTATTTGAAGTCTTCTGAAAATTTTTTTTATATCTACCCCCAAGGTAGGAAGTTAGGTGGACTAAAACTCTTAAGGTCACAGCAATGAGGAGAACCCTGTGGGCAGGTTGGGGGCCATGGGAGAGTTAAGGATTGTTGCTGAGTGTGTGGGTCTTCTGTCTTTAGGAGTATTTTGATGCTTGCCTGGGTATAATAAAAGGAGGAGGTAAATTAATAGATAATTTCGTATCTTAAAAAAAAATCTGTGCAGAGCTTTAACAGAAATGTATATGAGGTGGGGGAATGCAAGTAAAAATGTTTGTTCCTAGAGTTTCTCTTTCAGTTCATTTGTTTCCACATTTTGTTTTTGAATTAAATTTAATTGAAATGAGCTACCCAAGTATCTGAGTTGAAAAAGAACCATTCAGACAAGTTGTTGCTGTTAGAGTTGACATGGTATATTTATTCATTTGAATATTTTGGTTTTACTGATTTTATTATTTTACTTCTCACTGAAGAATGTACCTGGAAAAGTTAGCAGCATATAAGTGTACCTCAGGGAATTATCTTAAAAGCAGTCACCCTCCATGCATTTATTGTGGGAATATAAAGTAGCACAGCTGCTTTGGAAAATAATTTGGCTAGTAACTCTTCTAATAGGTTTGTACCCAAGAGAATTGAAATCATGTCTACACAAAAACATCAAAGTATATTTATGGCATATTTGTGATAGCTAGAAAATGGAAACAACCCAAATGTTCATACACAGTGAACAGATAACAAAATATGGTATGTCTATACAATGAAATGAACCAATAAAAGGAGTGAAGTATTGATATATACTATTACGTAGATGGACCTTGAAAACCTGCTAAGTGAAACAAGCCAATCACAAAAGATTATAATTATGATTCCATTTGCATTAAATGTCCAGAATAGGCAAATCAATAGAAACAAAATAGATCTAGTTGTCAGGGGTTGGGTTAGGCGGCTAGGGATGGTGAGGGACTGCTGTTGGATATTTATTTTTTTCTTTCTTTTTAAAAAAAATTTATTTTTTTAGTTATCAATGGATCTTATCTATCTATTATTTATGGTGCTGGGGATTGAACCCAGGCCTCATGAATGCCAGGCAAGTGCTCTACCACTGAGCAACAGCTCCCATGAGATTTCTTTTTGATGTGAGAAAATGTTCTGGAATTAGATACTGGTAATGGTCACACAATTCTATGAGTATAGTAAAACCACTGAATTATACTTTAAAAATATGCCCTTTATGGCAGATTAGTCGTATCTCAGTAAAACTGTTAAAACAACCACAATAGCAAAGCAAACTCATGCTTACGTGTTTAACCATTAGGTTCAGAACTAATAAGCCCCAGGAGACCCCTGAATACCCTTCCTAGTCAATTCTGAAAAGTATTCCTGGGAGAAAAAATAGTAGCTGTTTTACTGCTAGTGTTTACTTCCCAGAAGAATCCATTGTGTTGGACTAGACATGAAGCTTTATTCTGAGCATCAGCCAGGCCTAGCAAGCAACTTTTATAAAGTACCATTTTAATCAAATGCTTCTTTGTAATTCCATGGTGCTACTGTGACCTACCTTTGGCAACAATAATAGTCCTTTTAAAAGTAATAGGCCTTTTAAAACAGGTTGCGATGTATTCTTAACTTGTGTTCTCCCCTCCCCCCATAGAAGTAATCTGAAGTTTACCATTTTAAAATAATTTTAAAGCTTTAAAAAAAAAATTTTTTTTCAGTGTCTTACTGGCATGGAATCCAGGGTCCTGTGCATGCTAGCTAAGTAAGCATTCTGCCACTGAGCTCCAGTAGTTGCCCCTGCACCAGCTACTACTTTTTTACTTCTCCTAATCTTGCCTCCCTCATTAGAGGAGGGTTATTTAATAATGTCTTTATGGTGAATCAGATTAGCATTTACAGTTATTTTATTCTGTGTATCGCTTCTGATCTCAAAATTTAAAAGAATCAATCCCTAAATGTTTATGTGCTTCTAAATATTCTAACTCAAAGTAAGGTCAGTTTTGATTTTTTGCTTTTCAGTGATGTGTTGGCATTGCCCATTTTCAAGCAGGAAGATCCTAGCCTTCCATTGGATGGTGAAACGAAACATCCACCCTTTCAGTATGTGATGTGTGCTGCCACATCACCGGCAGTAAAACTACATGATGAAACACTCACTTACTTGAACCAAGGTTGGTATGGGTATACCATATTTTGAAATGTAAGAATTTACAAAAATCCAAAATAAATGTTTTGGCATCGTAGCCTAGATTTCTGGCAATAACTTTTTCTTGAATTTGACAATATTAGTTAAAATTTTATTTTTAATTTTTATTATTGGTTGTTCAAAACATTACATAGTTTTTGACATATCATATTTCATACATTTGATTCAAGTGGGTTATGAACTTTACTGTAAGCCAACAGACTAATACTTTGTAGAAACTAATTTGCATTAAAGAGAGTTTGTGGAGTAAGATTTATCACAGGATTTTCAGAAACCGTCCAAAGGAGAGGCAAATAGGAAAGGATGTCAGTTATTTTTAGGGACATTGGTTTCATTATGGAACTTGAATGAATCAGAAGTCCAGTCAGCCACCTGGGTCTTGGACATGGCACAGGTTTGTGCTGGAAATAGACTTAAGCTACACCATGAAGTCTGTGGTTAAATAAATGATATAAACTCATGTAGAGTTTACCATTAGAAAGCATAATTGATTTTTTTTTTTTTTTTCTTTTTGGAGGTGCTTCTTGCAGTTTGGACACTAGCTAATGTGACTTAACCACTGTAAAAAGTACTTTTGTTATTCAGGAAAAGCTGAAAATTAAGTGTTTGGCCTATTTACTTTTATGTTTATACATTTCTTTAGCAAAATTGGAATTATATATCTCTTTGCTTATTGTAATTATTTTACTGCCATTAAATAGAATCTTTAATTCCTTGTGCTTTGGAAAGATTTGGTAGATTCTAGACTATTGTGATTAATATTCTGAAATGTGAAAGAATAACTTAATTTCTAACTTTATTTGATATATAAGTTTAGAATCTGAGTGTGGGAATCTTTATCTTCAAATAATTCTGTCTGTATTGTGACAAAATCTTCATTTGTTTTTAACATTTAGTATTTGGGAGTCGGTTATTTTCAATTTGAGTTTTACATTTGGAAAAACATTAAGGATTTATTTGGTAGTCTGTTTTAGAATAAAAATATCAGAAGAAACAATGTTAGACAAGGATATTTACTGTAACTTAATTTTTTAAGATTTTATTTTATTTTTTTGCAGTGCTGGGAATAAAACCCAGGGCCTCAGACATGCTAGGCAAGCACTTTGCCACTGAAGTACATCCCAGGCCCATTGTTAAATTATTTCTAAAGACAAAAAAGGATATAACCCGAATTTCTCTTCTTTGGGGAATAGTTGAGGGCCTTATCAAAACTAGTTCTTAAAATGGTCATGTAATGAACCCTGAATCCTTCTGTGCCTACTCTATATATACATATATAATGAATATATGTGAACATAAATGTATTTTGTGGAGTGTATTTATGGTAACGGAGTCAGAGTTATTTCAGACTGGGAAGATTTACAGTTTGGTTAAACAAAGTGGATATTTAATGAATTTCAAGTACTTGTAAGGGATCAATACAATTTACTTTAAACAGCTTTAGATTGATTTTTGTCTTTCATTTTAATGTAGACAATGAGATAATTTGAACTAAAAAGGACTTTTGAAATTTAATGGCTTATAACATCATGAAACCTGTTCAAATGGTGCAAATATATAATTAGCATTTCAGTTTAGTCCATTTTCCTCTTTTGTTTGGCATTTGGGGGAAACACGTCATAATGTATCTTATAGCATTTACTCAGTTACGGAAAAAAGATGGCCAATTCTTACTGTTTTACTAAGAATAGTTTGTTTTTCTGTTGTTTTTGCTGTGCTGGGGGTGGAACTGAGGGCCTTGCATATGCTAGGCAAATGCTCTACCACTTGAGCTACACCTCCAATTCCACTAAAAGCAAAAAAAAAAAAAAAAATTTTTCCCTTTGTGTTACAGTATTGGCGATTGAACCCATTGTTGCTCTGCCACTGAACTACTTCCTTGCCCACCCCCCCCCCCCCCCTTTTTTTTTTTTTTACTTTGAGATAGTGTCTCACTAAGTTGCCCAGGCTGGCCATGAACTTATCTCAGCCTTCTGAGTTACTGTGATTACAGGCATGTGCCCCTGTGCCATCTAGAGCTTTTTGAGTATGATGATGTTCCCAGGGGAAGGTCCTTGAATGCTTTGTGTTGGAAAAAATATTGATTGACTGGATATTTATAGCTTTACATGGAGCAGTGGTTTTCCAACTATAGCATTCTTTAGATTCACCTGAAGGGCTTGTCAAAACATGAGTGCTGTGCCTCAGAGTTTTTTAAATTTGTTTTAATTAGTTACACATGACAGTACAATGACCTTGACATATCATACATTTGAATCAGATGGGATATAATTTCTCATTTTTCTGAGTGTACAGGTTGCAGAATCATATTGCAATGCAGTCACATATATACACACAGTAATAATAATGTGTGTTTCATTCTACTATCCTTCCTATTCCCCCATTCCCTCCCCTCCCCTCCCATCACTTCTCTCTACCTAATCTAAAGTAACGCTATTCTTTTTTTTTTTCTTCCTCACATTGATTTAGTAAATCTGGTGTGGAACCCAGGAATCTGCATTTCTTTCTCTTTTTTTGTTTTTAGGAGTCTGCATTTCTGATAAGTTTCCAGTTCATCCTGCTGGGTATAATTTCTGGGGCTCACACTTGAGTTTTATTTTATTATTTGAATATTTGGGCAAGTAGTTGGGCTTCTCCTCAACCATTCTTTTTTTTTGGTACTGGGGATTGAACCTAGGGGTGCTTAACTAAGTTACTTAAGGCCTTGCTAAGTTGCTGAGGCTGGCTTTGAACTTGGGACCCTCCTGCTTCAGCCTTCCAAGTTTCTGGGATTACAGGTGTGCACTGTGAGGCCTGGCTCAACCATAACCTTTTTTAAAGATGGATTTCCTCATAGGAGAGTTGGCCCTGAGTCAGGGACTGAATGCTGGTTTTTTTTTTTTGTTTGTTTGTTTGTTTGTTTTGTTTTGTGGTGCTGGGGATTAAACCCAGGGCCTTATGCATGGGAGGCAAGTACTCTACAACTAAACTGTATACCCAGCCCTTGAATACTATTCTTTGACTGTGACTTGCTCACTGTTTGTAGCCTGTCCTTAGGCACACTGCCCACCTTCTGCTTCTTATACAGCTATTGATGGAGGATATTTGTCATTGTGTAACAATGTAAAGAAAAGAAGCTGGGCTCAGTGGTGCATGCCTGTAATCCCTGGGGCTCAGGAGACTGAGGTAGGAGGCTTGGGAGTTCAAAGCCAGCCTCAGCAAAAGCAAGGCACTAAGCAGCAACTCAGTGAGACCTTGTCTCTAAATAAGGTACAAAATAGGGCTGGCAATGTGACTCAGTGGCTGAGTGCCCCTGAGTTCAATCCCTGTACACCCCCCCAAACAAAAACAAAAAACAAACAAAAAAAATTGAAGGAGAAATTCTGTATAGTAGTTTTGTCAAGTAGAAATTGGAACAAGTTTTGAAGCTATAATGATGATTGATGTCTTAGTTTGTCATTTTCTTCCTTTTTTGGGGTGTGTGTGTGTGTTTTCGAAACAGAGTTTAAAAACTGTGTCTTTGTTTATACTGGAGTATCCATCCATAATAAGATATAAGACACTGACTTTGTGGAGCAAAAACTGTAGTCCCGATATTGAATATCTAGCTCTCCCTTTGAGCAAGTTTCTGGCTATAGTAAATTGCTCCTTGTGTTATATCTGGGGGCTGATTCTTTGATACCCCACATTTCATGATGTGAATGAAACTTCTGATCTTACCTCCTTGCTGAATTCCAAATTGGCTCATTGATGCTGCTGGATCAGCACCTAAATCTTCAAGTGAAAAGAACCTTTCTCCTAGTTTCTCCCCAAATGCCTGTTCATTTGGAGGCCAAATTCTACTTGGAGAATACTCTGCTAGGAATGTTAATTAACCAATATTACTACTTTGCAAACAGATCTTAGACCTTAAGAAATAACATTTTTATTGGCTTAATTTTCTGTTAAATATTATTATAAACTTCGGGAAAAATAAGATTTTTAACTAGTTTCATTTTATTCTGTAGTAGATTTTCTTCTGAATAGTTTTGGTTATCGTTACCTCATTAAATTTCTATGTCAGGATCTTAGAAGTTTCTTGGGTTCCATGTTGCACTGGAGTCCATGTGAGGAAGCTAGACTTAACTGTATACTCAAAGGTTGGTGGGGACATGAACTCAAAACAGTTATATTTTTCAACTCTGGCAGTACTTTTCTTTTCTAAGCCCATAGGGAGCAAAATATTAAAACATGAAAGATAAATTCAAAAGATAAAGCTAAAAACAGGACCAGTGTTTCATAGAGTATTACACGGATATTAACATCATGCTTTATTAATCATGGAGCAGCCTTTATATTTTAGTTAGAACCATGGCTAATGTTTCAGGAAGTCATGTAATTAAAAAAGAATTATGGATAGGAGACAAAAGGAAGCAGTTTAAAAAAAAGTATGATTGTTCATTCATTGTATATTACTATTACCAATGAAGAATATGTAGTTTCCACAGGGAAAGCCGTTTGAATCATAACAGATGTTACATATAGACTTTTTTTTTAAGCCTCATTTGATTTTATAAAAATAAATACTTAGAGTGGTTTAATAGAAGGGCAGTAAGTCTTGAGACCAGTTTGTGGAAGCAGATTGAACTTTGTATTGAGTACAGAAGTTTCTCCTTAGGTTCACCAGGAAGAAAAACACAAAAGAAGATAGGAGCATTGGGATTTCTTCCTTTATTTGATTTTTCTCAAACCCGAGAACTTCACATTTCTGAGGATCACACAATAATCCCAGTGAGATTGTTTTCTCTCCCTCTCCAGCAACTGAATGAAAGAGCTTCCAGGACACTGTGTACTTGGTCCACCTCCCACTGGCTGTTTTTCTTTGTGTTACTCTCTTCATGCCAGCAAGTGGTTTAGCCCTATACTCCTTAGGTGTTTCTGTCTTTAAATGGCCTTACGTAAAACTGTATGCTGAAAAGTCCCCTCTTAATAGCTTTAATCTCTTCCTCAAAGGTCCAGGTTTGTAAATCAGTTTACTAACTTGGATGTCCAATAGGTATCTCAGACTTCATATATTCAGTTGATTTCTTTTTTTTTTTTAACTTCAATATTTATTTTTCAGTTTTCGGCGGACACAACATCTTTGTTTGTATGTGGTGCTAAGGATCGAACCCGGGACGCACGCATGCCAGGCGAGCGCGCTACCGCTTGAGCCACATCCCCAGCCCCTTCAGTTGATTTCTTAATTTTGCCAAGTTTTTTCCCTGTTGTCTTCACCACGTCAGGAAATGGCAATTGTACTTTAGTTCCTTGATCAAAGATCTGGAGTAATCCTCATCTCTTTTTTTTGTCTTAACACTCTGTCTAATTCAGTAGAAAGGGAAAGCTCTCCTTAGGCTCTACCTTCAGAGTATCTCCAGAGAGTGGCCTCTTATAGTCCCATCCCTATATCAGTATATGTGAGTGATTTCCGTTTATCCTTGCCAGCCTAAACTGAGGATGTAGACTCCTTAGATAGGTGAAAAAGTGATTTCAGTGTAGTTTTAATTTGCATTCTCTCATGGAGGTTGAATATCTTTTAATATGATTAACTTGGTATTTTGTTTTTCTGTGAACCCACATGTTCATTTCATTTGCTTTTTTTTTTTTTACTTTAGAGAACATTGAGCATTTGTTAGCAATTTTGTGAGCGCTCTTTACGTATTAGGGAGATCAGTCCTTTCTGTGTGCTATGAGTTTCAGATGTCCTCTCTTTCATTTTTTTTTGTCTTCACTAGTCAGACATGCTGAGAGGTGCAGACTTCATTAGTTTACATTCTCCATATTATATGACTTTTATTTCTCTTCTGTCTTTGTGCACTTGACTTTTCAAAATTTATTTTTTGTTCTTTTAGATGTTGATGGACCTTTATTTTATTCATTTATTTATATGTGGTGTTGAGAATCAAACCCAGGGCCTCACACATGCTAGGCAACTGCTCTACAACTAGCCATAACTCCAGCCCCTACACATACATGGACATAATATCTTTATTTTTGTTTATTTATTTTTATGTGGTGCTGAGGATAGAACCCAGTGCCTCACATGTGCAAGACAAGAGCTCTACCACTGAGCCACAATCTCAGCCCTGCACTTGATTTTTAAAAAAAATTTTTTTTATAGTTTTATTTGTTTATTTTATGTGGTGCTGAGGCTCGAACCCAGGGCCCACATGTGCTAGGCAAGCACTCTACCACTGAGCCGCAACACCAGCCCTAATTAAGCATTTTTAAAAATTTTAATTTCTTTTTCCAATCTGTATTGTAGCTTAACTTTTAGAAATTTCTCTTGCTATAAAGATGTTTTTAGTGTTAATCACTTAATCCATTGAATGAATTTAAGGAGGAGTATTTCTTACTAATATACTACATGTAGTTTTCCTTCACCAGTTTTGAAGTGATTTAGTTGTTTGGTAACGCTTTGTTGAATTTTTACATATAATTTAGAAACTTTGTATATTTTTCTGGGAGTGTGGACAAGATATTACTACTTATAGAATCTGATCTTCACGTGTTGCTAGAAGCATTCATAATTTTTACTAATTTTTCTGCATGCCAAATTATACAGGGATTTTTATTGCATAATAATAAATAATCCAGAAACCATTTTTGTGGGTTTGGAGTACACAATTAATTTTTAGCAGTTTATCTTCTTAATTATCTAGTTTGGTATATGACTATCTTTGTGTTTTTAATAGACATTAATTGAGCAGTGAACACTTGTGACGTGGCTTCATTAGACACAGGAAAAGACTCCAGCATTAAAAATTGGCCTTCGTGGGCTGGGATGTAGCTCATTCTTAGAGCATTTTGTGATCATGTCTGAGATCTTGGGTTTGATCCCCTGCACCAGAAAAAATATTGTCCTTGGTCCATAAAAAAACAAAACAAAAACCTGTGCACACTAATGTTTATAGTACCACTCATTGTAGCCTCAAAGTAAAAAGAACCCAAGTGTCCATTAGATGATGAAGGGATACACAAAATTTGGTATATTCATGCAATAGAATAATATTTGGCAATAAAAAGGAATGCAGTTATGCTAAGTAAAAGAAGCCAGTCACAAGGAAAGCCACATATTTAAATGAAGTGTCCAAAGTAGGCAGGTCTCTATAGACAGAAAAATAGATGAATGGTTACAAGGAGGGTGCAGGGAGATGGGTGAGAGTATATGAGGTAACTACTAATGGGTTTAGATTTCCTTTTAGGGTGATGAAGATATTCTAAAATTGTTAGTGGTGATGGATGTACAACTCAGAATATACCAAAAAGCAGTGAATTATTTATGGTATTTAAATTTTATCTCAAAAGAGTTTTGTTATAGGTCTGGGGTTGTGGCTCAGTGGTAGTAGAGTACTTGCCTAGCATGTGCAAGGCCCTGGATTCGATCCTCAGCACCACATAAAAATAAATTTAAAAAAAAGATATTGTGTCCAACTACAACTAAAAAAAATATTAAAAAAAAAGTTTTATAGAAAATTTATTGTGGAGTAGCAGATTAAAGTAAATCAACAAAGATACTCTTCAGTCTTTTGTAATAATGTAAGAAGGAAAGGATGGTGTGATTTTTAGGAAAGAGAATGATCAACCTGAATTTGTTTCTCTACAAATTAGAAAATTAACGTTGGATGGTTTTAAATTCTAAGAGACGGGTATGTTGAACAAGGTGATGTTCTTTATTTACATGGACTGTTTTTGATACATAATTTCTTTAAATAGGTCAGTCTTACGAAATTCGGATGTTGGATAATCGGAAAATGGGAGATATGCCTGAGATCAGTGGAAAGTTGGTAAAGGTAAGATAACTTTTTTTATATGAACTGGTGCTGGGGAATAAATCCAGGGCCTCATGCATGCTAGGCAATTGCTTTACCACTGAGCTATGAGCTACATCCCCTGCCCAGGACAGTCTATTGTAATCTGAAATGATATTTCAGTGATTGAATAAAATGACATTTTTCTATAAGAGTTATTTAAAATTTTACTTCAAGAAGTAATGACTATATTTAAACTTTAACTTTTTGAGCTATTTTTTTTTAACTCACCAATAAAATGGCAATTGACAGTTATTAAGAACCAAGAAACAGTAGAAAACTTAGTTGCAGTTGAGGAGGAAAAAACCCAATACTTCAACAGAAAACTGTTTACTTCTCTTTAAAAGTAAATGTGAATGTTAATATAGGACTTTAAAAATCCTTATATCTGACTTTAAAAAAATTCATAAAATTTCATTAAATAAAATAAAATCTCTATTTACCCTACTGATATATCTGAATGAAGAAGTTAGTCATCCCAGATAAAGGAGGTGTAGCCATTGTTTAGTCAACCTGTTAGGATATTTATTCAGAATCATCCTGGCCCCTTGTGGTGTTATGCAGCGTGGGTCATTCCAGCCTCTACTTGTCATGCATCAAGGCTTATTATAAATTTCACAGTGTTAGAGGGCAAGGCCTATCGAAGATCATGATTTGGGGAAAGGCAAAACTTCCAGCGTTAGCAAGAGGCCAGCAGGTATGAGTTCTGATCCTTCCATCTTCCCACAGAATGGCATGTCATGGCCTAGGTGCTGCTGGGCCCTCAGTATGGAGAGGCATTCCATTGGAAAGACCCTCCCCTCTGTGGATCTGTCGTTTTAGAGGGTGAGCATGGGAAAGGCAGCCTTGTGGAGGGAATGGATGCTTGGGCTGCTTGGTGATACGCACTCTAAATTTGGTGTGCTAACTGGGAAAACCAGTTGCCCAGCACCTCCAGGTCTGTGCTGAGAGCCTTTGGGATATTTTAGTACTCATTTCACTCCTAGGGGCAGGAAGTTTCACTCTTTTAGAAAGTTAAGCTTTGATCCTTCTCCTTATGAGAGAAATATTAGGGGATTTGGTCTCTGCTGAATTATATTGCTAGCTCATAGTGAGCTCCAAGATCTTTCTTTTTGACTCTTGGGGCTTCTGATATAATTGGAACAGAAGGAGGTTATTTGTCCATTCCCACAGTTACTATCTGCACCTTAGGTCCATCTTTTCTTTGTCTAATCAGTGGTTATTCTCATTGAGCATGAGTCAGATTATCTTCCTCTTGGCATTCTGGCCTGAGGCAAACACCCTTTAGATCCACTGTTTTAAAAAAGTCATCAGCTTTGTTCACAATGAGCAGGCTCTACTTGAATTGGCTCTACTCTGTTTGACTGTAATGACAAACTGTTCACAGTTTGATCAAGGAGCCAAACTAATACTTTTAGGTTCCATTGTCTAGAAAGCTTAGAAATGTATCTTGTGGTCCTAGTTGGCTTGTTGCTTTCAAGGTCACTTTTGGGCTAATTTGCCATTTGTACCCTACCTGGTTTAAATTCAACTAAGGTTTTTTTGTTTTTATGGTATTGGAGATTGAACCCAGGACCTTGAACATGCTAGCAAGTGCTCTTTCACTGAACTGTACCCCACCTCAGTGATACTTTTATTTAAAGGGGAAATGTGGGTATATTTTTCTGTCACAGTAAGTTAAATTTGATGACTGTAACATGCTGGTTTAAAAAAAAAAGTAGCAGTGTAATAGGGTCGAAAAATTGTTTTAATTGTAGATCTGCAATAGGACTTGACGTATCCTGTCTTTAAACTAGATCCAATTGTTAGAACAATTGTTTTGTCCTCTGATTATGATAAAATTTGAACATACCCAGAAGTAGAGAGAATGGTACAATGAATCTGCATATGTCTTTCATGAAGTAGTATGTGAGAAATAGATCTGAATCTGTCATGAGTTCTAGTGATATGTTCTACCAACTTAGTTATCAACAATTTGCTGATCTTGTTTCATCTGTTCCCCCTTGGGTTTTGTTTGTTTTTAGTGGGTGTGTGCAATACACATAGTAAATTTATGGATTTACTGTTTTGTAATTTTGACTCAGTTCATCGTTCTTGACTATTTGGTGTTCTGTGGAGAATATAACAAACATTGATATCCAGACCAAATGCCCCAATTGTTTTTAGCAAAGCACAAAGAAAGGCAGTTCTCAAGTAGTTATCATTGTTTATTGTCAGTGAAAACAAATTGGCTTTCTAGGGCAGTTCTTTCAGTATGTGATAAGATTTAGAAATAATTAGTCTGATAGATGAGACTTAGTGTTTAAAATACTTTTGGCAAGCTAGTTAAAATACCTCTCAGATTAACTTGTAATGTCAGGGTTAATTAATTAAGTTGTTCATCTTTCTTGGATTTACTTCCAAAATAAAACATGTAAAAAGCAACTCATGCTCAAAACCAATGCAGGCAAAGAAATAAAGGGAAAAAAAGGCAACAGTGACACTTCATCATGAGATAATAAACTCTTTAACTGTAGAAAAACCAGTCAGCTATAAATTTAGTGAATGTTCTACTAACTTCATCGTAGCATATATACTACTTATACACTGACTGAAAGGGATTAATTTTAAAAGGTTTTACTTTCAGCTCATCTTCAATTTGATAAGCCACCTGTCTGATTTTTGTTGGATGTGCCAGAATATATTCACTTATGCCCTGGGAGCTTGCCTGGGATTCAGAGCTACAGAAATCAATCCCACTTTCCTTTGAGTTTCCTCTTATATCTTGCTTTTTCTTTATTATGGTCCTCTTTGTCTTCCTTACTGTACTACTTTAGTGTGACTTTCTGGAATGAGGCTTACTGCAATCTCATAAGTCTAATATCTTAATGCCATGTGCAGTACTGTGTAGTACCATGTAATACCATACTATTTTCTTCTTAATTTGTGGATTTAGTCTGGTTATTACTGAACATGGAAGAATCAAAGTCATGACATTTTATGTATTATGCTCTCTTCTGAGGGAAACTAGCTAACAAATTTGAACCACTGACATTGGTTCCGAACACAGGGCCTACCACCAGCCATGCACCATTGCCGTAAGAGCTTTGCTGCAGGCTGGAGATGGTGTAAAGAGGGTGCATCTCAAAGAAACAACTTATTACTATTAAGTGGTTTCCTTCAGAATATCAGCCATGTTTGGATAGTATTTAAGGAGTCGGGAAAGCAGGGGTACCAAAGTAGTATTTATATGTATTGCCAACGAATGATTTCCTGTTCAAATCAACAGTATTTTATTATCTTCTCAGAATGTCACTCATAATTAATGTCAGAAACATTAATTAGTTCACATTTGTTGCCTGAGTGCATTTTGATCATTTGTCATCTTTTTCCGGAAATGAAATAGTTGGTATCATGAAGAGCAGAGGATTGGCCTAGAGTTTGTGGAGGAGAATTAAAACTTCTAGGAATTTGAGTGTTCAGATAAAATTTGACATCCCCCCTCCCCACACCTTAACCTCAGATAATCTCAGGTTAAATAGTTGAGAATGAATTTTGCAATTGGGGTTTCTTTTACCATTGTGCCTGATATTCTCTTATCTCTGTTTATAATACCTTTTCATTGTCATATTTGCCTATATGCTTCTGCCATTTTCTTCAAATAAATATAATTCTTGCTCGCTAATTTTAAATCACTAATTCTACTGATTTTGAATAGTAATATCAAATTATTTTATAAAATTTATATCTCAGTTTTCTTTTTATTTATGCTTCTTATTTTGAGTTATAAGTCTTTTCACCAAGTAAATATATATGAAGTGTACCAGAATAGAAAAGCTCACTTATGGAATGTTTAAGCAGAATCGGATTTTATATGCTCTTCTACCATAGGTTACTACATAAGAAGCGAAAATGCTGTTACATTTTAGCTGGAGTGGTTTAAAAGTACTCATTTTCCCCACTTATTCCATAGAGCATCATAAGGGTTGTATTCCATGACAGACGGCTACAATATACAGAACATCAGCAACTTGAAGGTTGGAAGTGGAATCGCCCAGGAGACAGACTTCTTGATTTAGGTACACGTGGTGGTCAAAAGACCATGTCGATGAAGGTGTTGTAATTTAGCCATGTCTATTAATGTGTTAGCATCATGTGTAATTAATTATGTAGAGAAAGTTTTGGTATTAGTAAATCCTGTGCCTTGAAGATTTAAAATGTGAAGTTGGTTTTTTGGCACTGAACTGAACAGGGATTTTATGATTTTGAAACTATATAATTCTCACTTGGCCACATCCATTGTATTATTAAAATGAAATAAAAGCCATGGTAGGCGAATATATCATTCTTACTAGGTGTATTTTGATATTGAAGACAGGGTTGACCACAGAGAACATTGAGGGAAAAAGTTCAACATGGATATAATTATTTTCTTAGGACATAATGTAGTAAGTTTAAGTTTTTTGTTTATTGTTTCTTGAGATGAGGTCTTACTATGTTGCCCAAGGTGGCCTTGAACTCCTGGGTTTAAGTGATCATACTGCCTTCTGAGTAACCAGGACTACAGGCCCATCACCACACCCAGCTCAAGTTGTAAGTTTTTTAATTATTTAAAATGGATGCATTTTCATGTAACTTCTTTTTAAAATGCAGATATTCCAATGTCTGTGGGCATAATCGATACAAGGACAAATCCAAGTCAGTTAAATGCAGTTGAGTTTCTGTGGGACCCTGCAAAACGTACATCTGCTTTTATTCAGGTATGGATTTTTACATTAGAAACATACTGACCCAGTTATTTAGGTCATGGTGAGATTGAATTTTTGATACATGATGTTATTTTTTTTAAATGTTATTTGTAAACTGTCTTATAATAGCCGCCCCCCCACCCTTTGGTACTGGGGATTGAACCTAGAGGCACTCAATCACTAAGCCATGTCATCAGTCGTTTTTGTTTTTTATTTTGAGACAGAGTGTAAATTGTAAGTTGCTAAGGCTGGTGTTGAGCTTGGGATTCTCCTACTGTAACCTCCCAAGTTGCTGGAATTATAGGCATGCACCACTGTGCCTGGCGTTTTTTTTTTTTTTTTTTAATATACACAATTAAAATGGGTTTGCAGGGGCTGTGGCTCAGTGGCAGAGCACTTGCCTAGCATGTGTGAGGTTCTGTGTTTGATTCTCAGCACTGCACATAAATAAATAAATAAAATAAAATGGGTTTAAGCTACTCAGTTCATCATATTATAGAAAAAGACTTTCTGTGATATCTAAAGATTATTCAAGTTCTATTTTTACCATTAGTAATCGACAATAAAGATTTTCATCATTTTTAATGAACAAAAACTGCTATTTAAAAAAATGATTGAAAAAAGTTTTAAAATTCTTGGTGGCATTGTTAAAACTTTTAATACTGAAATTTTCAAACCTTCACAAACAGAACACTGGTTCTCCATGTACCCACCTGGCTTCACCAGTTATTAGTTTTTTCTCACTTAGAATTATTATTGGCATACTTTAAAACAAATTCCAGACATATTTCATCCATCAAGAACATGTATATTGAAAAGTTGAATTTTTTAAAAGTAACATTATAATATCATTATTACATATTTATTAAAAAGTAGTAATTCTAATGGTATGTTCAGATTTATAATATTTATGGAGGAATTTAAACTTGTGAGTAGGCAATCTTTATATTGAAAAGAGAAAACATTTAATTCTTGGGCGATCTAAGTAGGCTATGGATCATATCAACTGTAAAGAATCATTAGTATTTTGCTGCTGGGAGCAGTGGCACACACCTGTAATCTCTGATTGGAGGGGCAGAGGCAAGAGGATTGCAAGTTTGGGGCCATCTTCAGCAAATTATCAAGGCCCTAAGCAAGTTAGTGAGATCCTGTGCCAAAACACTGTGGCTCAGTGCTAAAGCACCCTTGGGTTCAACCATCACCAAAAATAAGTAAATAAATCATTAGTATTTTGCATTATGGTGGTCTACCAAATGTTCCTCATCTGTTAATCTTTGGGGCATGGTTGATACTAATTGAATATTTTTCTCATGCTATTGATGTTTGTCTGTAGGATAACCACTTATGTAGTGAATGGTAACACCACCTCAGGTTGTTAATAATAAAATCTTGGGTTGTGCAGTCATAAGTCATTGCAGAAATCTGCTTTCACATTGCAAGTAATTTGAAGATGGTACATGTATGTAGCAAGCAAAAATGACCATAGTGCTGTACTCTAAAGCTGTTTTCTCAAGCTGGCATTTAGGCAAGAGTGGAAGATGAATATTGCTTCGGAGTCCAAAATAGATTTTGAAGGGTTCTGGAGAATTTAGATGGATATGAGTCCTTCGTTTTCTGGGCTGTGGAAATTCCCCAGGCATGTATCACAGATTGGTATGTCTGTGTAAGAGCCTTAGTAAGATGATTGGCTGTCTGAAATAGGGGTAATGGCAGTAAAGGATAAACCACTGACAGCTCAGAATGATGAAGTAAGGATTGCTGTGGATGAAGTAAGGAGTAGGGCTTAGGACCCTGGGTCTAAGAGTAGCATATTGTTCAGTGTGGAGGTAGGTGACATATATAGGAAGCCATTGTACTTTCAAGTCCTGCATTAGAGGAGGGAGAATGTAACAGGGAAAGAAGTTGTTCTGAGCAAATCCAGAACTACTCATTGGATTTCTAAAAGAAATCATTGGATTACTAATACACAGGATGTATTAAAAGCTAGGGAAATTCACAAGAGAATTTTGCTGATATGTGAGAGTTTTTAAGGTTCTTGAATGTGTGCTGGTGGCATGCTATCTAACTGGGAACTAAATAGGCAATCCATGGGAGGTGCTTTGAAGCCACTTCATCTTGCATTGATTTTTAGGTACACTGCATCAGCACAGAATTTACTCCTCGGAAACATGGAGGTGAAAAGGGAGTACCTTTCAGGATCCAGGTTGACACCTTTAAGCAGAATGAAAATGGAGAATACACAGATCATCTTCACTCCGCTAGTTGCCAAATTAAAGTTTTTAAGGTAAGAAATAGAAACCAGGCTGTCAGTAATTAGGATTCAGTTTTGCTTTTAAAGCTGTTTACAGTATGATGAAGGAAATAATCTTTGTTTTTAAGCCTAAAGGTGCAGACAGAAAACAAAAAACTGACCGAGAAAAGATGGAAAAAAGAACAGCTCATGAAAAAGAAAAGTATCAGCCGTCCTATGATACCACAATCCTCACAGAGGTAATGTAATGTGGCATTTGGTTTTGGAAGAGAAGCAGAGGTTGTGTATTATTAGCACTACCTCTCAGACGAGTTTCACAACAAAGGGGTTGGGAAAGATTGGGTGGTAGAACAACATGATATTCTTTGAGAAATTTGTAGGGAAATATTTAAATTTGGGAATTTTTATGGATTAGTTTTGTGGGTGGGATCTTGAATGAAGATGCTGAAATCCCAATCAGGTCTCAGAAACAGACCTTAAAACCTTGAAGTTGGCAAGAGATTATTAAATCGGGGCCTAGAATGTCCAATTTTTGTCACTGCTGGGGTTTTGCATTTTCTTTAACTTTGAATCCTGTTAGTCATACATTTGTTTAATTGGACTGCAGAGACATGAAACAGGGTATTAGATCTTTCTTTGTATAATGAAAAGACATTGATCCCAATCTTTGGTGTTTGTCCAGATGAGGCTTGAGCCTATAATTGAAGATGCAGTTGAACATGAGCAGAAAAAGTCCAGCAAGCGGACTTTGCCAGCAGACTACGGTGATTCTCTGGCAAAGCGAGGCAGTGTAAGGGACTTCTGCTTCTCTTTTCATTGTGCAAGAAACCTTGTACAGTGTTAGATATAGGACCAACTTCCACTGAAAAGTAAAGCCAAAATTGTTTTTGATGTCCATGTCTTGATTTAATTTGCTTTTGTTTAGACTTCCTGCTTTCTGTTTGTTCCTCACTGAGGAAAATTTCCTAAATCTAACACTTTAAAACAAAGCAAAAACAATGTTGACCATATTGGGTGGTTTTGGAGGGAAAAAAGAATACACCCAGAGATTTGTGTTCCCTCCTTGTCTCCTTCCCCCTTCCCTCCCTCCCTCTTTCTCCTTCACACACACACCTCCTCCAAGAGCACTGAAATTAATTGAAAATTATTTCTTTATTTAAATAGTTATTTTTAAAATAGTTGTCATTTTTGTGTAATTAAAATTTTTTTTTTGCTTTCTCTTGTGTAGACCTGATAAGAAAATTTTGTGGATATTTAAACAATGGCAGCAAGCTTGACATTAATATGTGCAATATTCTATGTCACATTTCCTTGCATGCAGTGTAAGAATCTGTGTCTGTCTGTGCTTTTAAAAGCCTATTTGGCAGCACTGGTAGAAAAAAAAATCTTTGACTGCATTAGTGATTCCTCTTGGCACCCACCTGCATTGTGACTTAATGCTTCAGATTAAAGCAGTGCACCTCACTACACTTAGACCTGGGTCTCCTCAATTTGCAGTCCAGGAGGCTTTTGGTTGTGTATTAGCCTTTTCAGGTTAAGTAGAGCAGATCTTTATTTCATGACACAGCTCTTCATCTAACAGTCCACAAAAGACTATTTTATTATGCAAACTCAGATTAGTTATATACTAGTAGCATTAAAGAATAAAAAACAAATTGGTATCATATATATTAATGAGTACTCTATTCATTGTTGCGTGTTCACACTATTAAGGTGCCAAAAACGGATTTTTCACTCTCCTACATACACTTGTGATTAATTATAGATCTTGAAACAGGCACCATCAAAGGAACCTTGATTCCAGTTTAAAGCATTGAATAAAAATGTTTTAAATTTTTCTTCATGCAATCATACTGAAAATGTACACATCCTAGTGCCACAGGGAGCACACATGTTGCATCTTCTTTAACTGGGCTTTTAAATTTTAAATCAATGATTTTTGGAACCACTAAATATTCTTTCCCAAAATGCTTGTCTCTCCAGTTTTATCTTCTGATTCCCCAGATGAAGACCCATAATGTTCTTAGTAGATTTCTTTAGGGAAATCCTGGTAACTCAACTCACTTTCCCACTCCGTTTATAAACCATTTAGCTAACTTAAATGGTAATTCATAAATAAAAGAAATCTGTTACAGCCCTGAGCTAATCTGAAGATGAGAAAGTTGTTGGGAAATCTTTAATGATTCTTAACTCAAGTCTAAAGTATGCAAAACGTCAGCAGTTCACTGGCCTGGGATTTCACATCTTCCTAGTGTGTTGCTTGCTGCCCTGGCTGCATTTGGTTTGGGTAAGATGCTTCTAGATGTGGTTTGAGCTCATTGTAGAAACCTATTTTAAAAAGCAGGTTACTGATAAGAAAGAAGGTCTGCAGCAATTCTTTATCATATACTTCTTCAAATGCCTACAAAGGAAGGCCAATATTGCTTATAGTTTTTTGGATAGTTATATTTGGCTTTCAGTAAAAAGGGATGTCCAGTGTATTGTTAAAATCTAAAAGGCTGATGAAATGGTCCCACACTGAATCATTACTACCATTGGTACCCAGGTGCTACACAACAAAACTCTTAGCATGTCTACTAATCTTTGATTGGCTCACATCAGGCCTGCCAGTTTTTACAGCCTTAAGTGGGTCATCATTCTTTAATCTACTTGAGGAGATACTCATTCACAGTGTACTGAAACTAGAATTATGTGATCAATTAGTCCTAGTGTCTATGAATTACAGTGTTTGGGAACATAGGAACATTGCCTAATTTTAACAAGTGTTATTGGGCTGGCAATGCAGCTTAATGGTGAAAAGCTTGTCTAACTTGTATGAGGCCTGCGTTTGATTCCATGACCACAAAAACAAAACAAAGCAGCACTCCTCTTGTACTGTTAAAAAAATCTAAATGTGTAAAAGTGAAAGCTTTGTGTAGGGAGTGTGAATAAATTTGGCCTATTTACTTTGTCAAACTAACTTGAAGCTTAGTTCATTTCCTCAAAAAGCTGACAGTAATCATTAAAGCAAATATGGGAGACAGTGTTTTTAATAAAAAAAATTCCATTTTTTAGATGTGTGCTATGCTGTGTTGTTTTGTATTGAGCAAAGAGGCTGGTGGTGCAGCAAAACCTTCCAGGTAGTGGAGGTGACAGTGAATGTTGACACCTGTGATTTTGATTAGATATGCTAAGGAGCTCATAGAATCTTATAAACTGAGGAGGTGATAATTTGTAAGATGGAAAGAAAAACAAAGACCTTAGTTTTTAAAAAAGTGGGCATTGTGGTATAAAATGTCACTTAAAGTGAAATTGGTATGCCATGCCAGAGGTTTAGTAAAGCTATGTGGTGGTAATAATTGCAGTTTTTCCCATTTTTAAAGAGGTACATAACAGGATAGTTGTTAAGAAGATTAGGGAATTTCTCTCTTTGTGTGTGTGTGTGTATCCATGCTTTTGATTCGTGTCAGGTATGGATTTTTAGTCCCTGTACCATTGGCAAGCTTTACTTTGTACTGCAGAAGGCCTCACGCTTTCTTAACTCCTTCGCACTAGTGGTCTAGATGCTTTGCTATTCAGAAGAATTTTGGAAAAAGATATATTCCTTGTACATTTTCAAGTTGTCATCTGAAAGTTTTCATCATAAATTTAAACTGCTGAAAAAGGAGACAATTTTCTGGCATGGTGAATATATTTATAATTTAAGATAAAACTATGACATTTACTCTTTGAAGTTCATCCTGTATACCATAGAAAAATAAAATTTCATCTTTTTTTTTTTAAAGAGAGAGAATTTTTTTTTTCAGTTTTCTGTGGACACAACATCTTTATTTTATCTTATGTGGTGCTGAGGATTGAACCCAGAGCCCCGCCTAGGCGAGTGCGTTACCGCTTGAGCCACATCCTGAGCCCCAATTTCATCATCTTTAGTTAAATCCAGAATCTTAGATTAACTAAAAGGGCAGAATTAAGGCCAGGATTATTCTCCCCTTCCTTCTTGTTTAATGTTCTGAGCCTGAAGGTCTTTTTTTAATGCTCATCCTAATTATTTCTTTACAGCAATTTTTTATAAATGAAATTTGAGTTTTAAATTTTCTTTTGACCATTGACCCTTAACTTAGTCAAGAAATTTAAATTTTGGGGCTGGGGCTGTAACTCAGTTGTAGAGCACTCGCCTAGTATGTGTGAGGCACTGGGTTTGATTCTCAGCATCACATAAAAATAAATAAATAAAATAAAGGTATCGTGTCCATCTATGACAAAAAAATTAGAAAAAGAAATTTGAATTTTAAAAATAGAAGTATCAGTTTGTAATAACAAGTTATATAAATTGTGATGAAAAACTACCAAATTAAAAAATAAACATTAATTGGAACTATATCTTGAATGATGAGACAGGATAGAATATGGCTTTTAGATTTTTAAATAGACAGGAGAAACTGTTTTTGATACATTTTTCTTTCAGCAGTGTCATTAAAGTGTCGGCACTCCAATTTGTAAAAATTCCAGTAATATACCTTTCTGTATAATCTAGATTATTTTAGTATATGCCAGTTGATAATAGGTCCTCCTGGATTATTTTGAAAATAAAAAATTGAAAACCACCTAATAGTCTTTTGCTTGGCTTTGGTGTCTTAACCCAGGGCTGTGGTTGGATGTGATGCTTCTCTTGTGTAAAATGGGAGAAGGATGATTGTGAAAAGTGTTTCTTGAGATTGACAAACATCCCCAATAGATCAGCTGTAGAAAGAGTACCTGTGGGGTAAAATAGATTACTTCCTTCCTTGGGTTTGAGACTTCTATTTGAGGCTGTCCTAGCCTACTTAGTGTGCTTTTACTTTGGCTTTTTCAGCTCTCTTAATTTAACAGTGTGTTTTTGTATCTTTGCTCTATCTCTGGTCAGAATTTTACCTAGGGTTGAGGAATATTTAAGCCCACTATATCCTTTAAGAAAATATAAATAAATATATACAGATGGATAGGTAGAGGTAGAGGCAGTGCTATACACAGTTGGTATACTTTGGTGGGCCTATCTAATCTTATTTGGGAATTATTAATCTTAAGAGAGATCAAGGAAGCAAATGGGTACTGGTAAGGCTGCTCCTTAGGGAATAGGGCAAAAGGAGACCTAGTAAGACACAGCCACTGTCCAAGTCACCGTGTGATGTCAGATGTTGCTTATGAATCCTTTTTCGTTTCTGCTATTTTTTAAAAACCTTGATAGGTGCCTTTCGGGGAACTGACAAAGCTCTTGAAAACAAATTATACCTAAGTATATATTTTAAATGCTTTTATGAATTTTTGCTGTTGTCATCACTTCAGGTCTTCTCTAAGATTAATCAGTGTCTAGACGCACACAGCAGGTAAATTTTTTCTTTGCCACACAGGCTAAAATTGACATGTGTCTTTGAGGGTACTTGGTATGCATCAGGTGTCTTTCATTTTAGAATCTTGCATTTGGTCAGACTAGAGAGTAAATCACAAAAGTATTTCTTCTACATATTTAAAAGGCATATCATTAATTTATTTCTGTTTCTGTCCTTAGTGTTCTCCGTGGCCTGATACCCCCACAACCTATGCGAATAACAGCCCTTCACCAGCGCCCACTTTCACCTCTTCCCAGCAGAGCACTTGCAGTGTCCCAGACAGGTATCTGGTTTCTGTAGTTCTGTGCCTGCACCTCATGATCCTGCAAGTCCCTTCCTCTTCATTAAAGTAGCCTGCCTTTCTCTCTCTCTATTTTTTTTTTTTTGGTGGTGCTGGGGATTGAACCTAAGTCCTTGTACATGTGAGGCAAGCACTCTACCAACTGAGCTGTGTCTCCAGCCCTTAAAGTAGCCTCTTAATGACTGTGCACAGTAGTTATATTTTTTTCACCTGCGAGCCTTTTGCAGTAGCCTCGTGTGCCTCATACTTTCACAACTATGATAATTGTAGAAGAGGGACCATTTTCAAGATGAAGACAAGGAAACAGTCTTGAGATTGAAGACAGTATTAATGAGGTTCCCAGGCAAGGTCATGGTGAGTTGTTGAGGTGAAACTATGACTTCAATATGTTAAAATTACATTTATTAGCAAGAACACTCATCTTCAGTGCTTGCCATATCAGACAGCTTATTTCCTGATCTATTTTCCCTCCCAATAGAAAGTTTGTTTCTGTTTTTTGAGTATTTAAGGAAGGGCTTTCAGTTTCTTTCTTTTTTGGACCAGGGATTCAACCCAGGGGCACTTAACCACTGAGCTATCCCCTAGCCCTATTTTGTATTTTATTTAGAGACAGGGTCTCACTGAGTTGTTAGTGCCTTGCTTTTACTGAGGCTGGCTTTGAATTCGAGATCCTTCTGCCTCAGCCACCTGAACTGCTGGGATTACAGGTGTGTCCCACTGTGACTGGCCAGGGCTTTCGGTTTCTAATGAGTCACTGTGGTTTCGGAAATGGGAATATTTTAAGTTTTTTCTTTTTTGGTGGTACTGGAGATTGAATCCAAGAGCTTGCACACGCTAGGCAATTGCTCTGCCACTGAGCTGCACCCTTTTTAAAAATTTTATAGTCACCTAGGCTGGCCTGGCCACCACCACCCCACCCCCTCCTCCCCAACCCCGCATTTTTGGTCCCAATAATTGAACCCAGGGGCACTTAACCACTGAGCTACATCCCTAGCCTTTTTTTTTTTTAAGTTTTTTTTTTTCAGAGAGAGTGAGAGAATTTTTTAATATTTATTTTTTAGTTTTTGGCGGACACAACATCTTTGCTTGTATGTGGTGCTGAGGATCGAACCCGGGCCGCACGCATGCCAGGCAAGTGCCCTACCGCTTGAGCCACATCCCCAGCCCTTTTTAAGTAATTTTTAATATTTATTTTTTAGTTGTAGTTGGAAATAATACCTTTATTTTATTTACTTATTTTTACGTGGTGCTGAGGATTGAACCCAGGGCCTCGCACGATGTGCTAGGTGAGTGTTCTACTGCTGAGCCACAACCTCAGCACCCCCAGTCTTTTTTTTTTTTTTTGAGACAGAGGGTCTTGCTAAGTTTCTTAGACTGGATTTGTACTCACGATCTTCCTGCCTCAGCCTCCCGAGTTGCTGGGATTATAGGTGTGCAGCACTGCCCCTGGCTCCTATGTTTTTTTTTTTTTTTCCCACCGTCCCCTGGATCAGCAGGCTTTTCTTTATTCAGTATTTAGCAGCAGAGTCAATTGGTAGAACCATGGAGTGGCTCATTTTGGGGGCAGAAAATAGCTAGCTCCCACATTTGTTATTGGTGCATTATAGTTGTACATATTGATGGGATTTGTTATTACATATTTGTACATGCACACAATATAACAACATAATTTGGTCAATATCACTCCCCAGCACCTCAACCCCTTGGTCCTTTTACTCTACTGATCTCCCTTTGAGTTTTAGGAGATCCATCCCCACTTGTATTATCCTTATCCTTTTTCTTCTCTAGGTTCTACATGAGAGAAAACATATGACTCTTAATCTTCTGAGTTTGACTTATTTTACCCATCCATTTTCCTGCTAATGTCATAATTTCATTTTTCTTTATTCATCTGAAACTTTTTTTGGGGGGTGGGGCTTGGAACTTTTGATCCTCCTGCCTCAGCCTTTCAAGTAGCTGGGATTATAGGTGTGGGCCACCCAACTGTGCTTATTATCTGGCTTTGACTAACAACTGAGACTCTTGGGAATTACAGGTGGGAGCAGGAGACAGGGTCTGAGGCATCCTGAAGATGCAGTGGTACCCTCTGGGGCTTTCCATTTCTGGCTGCTTTGCTGGAGAACTAATGCAGAGTATTTCTGATCAGACCCCACCACCACCCTTTTTTTTAGGGCACTTCTTACTTCGGAGAAAATTATTAAAGCTATGACCACAAGGGAAAGGTTCTGTTGTTTTATACTCTGATCATTTTGCCCAGGTCTGATAAGAAAACAAACAAAATGACACTTTTGCCCTGTGGAAATATATGAGCTGATGATACTGCTTGTTTTCATGTAGGTTTAAAAGTAGAAGAATACTCATAGACTTGAAGGGGGGACTGGAGAGCCATCATGTTACCACATTAAAAGATCTCTTCTAGTTTTTTTTTTTTTTTTTAGGGCAGTCCAGCCTTAATAATCTTACAAAATTACTATGACCTTAGAGATGAGTTGTGAATTCAAGTTGACTAGTTGGCTGGATATTTCCTGAGAGTCCACTGTTCCAGGACTATTCTAGGTGCTGTGATATATAAGTGACCAGACAGATCTCAATTTGAAGGAGCTTAAATTTAGTGAGTGGAAATGGATATAAATATAGTAAATATATCAATATAGTAAACCTAAGTAATTGAGGAGCAGGCACTAAGAAAGGGGCCTGTAGCTCAGTGGGAGAACACTTCCCTGGGTTCTATCCCCAACATTGCCCCCCAAAATAAAGGAGCGTATGTGCAGGAGTCAGAAAGTTGTTTACTGTTTTCATTCTGCCTTAGAAACACAAGGATAGTGGTTTGAGTTTGTTTCTTTTGTTCACTCTCTGTAATCATGGATATGTATCATGGATTAATTAAAGGAAGATAGTATTTTATATTTTTACTTAGGATCATTATACTTTTTCTTGTAGCTCATTGTTTTCTTAAAGTAGATCGTTTTTGCAGCTCTATATCTTATTGGTTTCTCTTTTTTCTAATTAAAATCATTTAGTATTCTTCATTTTCTTGGCATCCCTATGGATAAGTGGGATTTCATAAAACTTGAATTTCTCACTAGAACATATGGACAAAATGGCATGAGTGAAGAGAGGGTCTTCTGCGTCTTCATCTTATCATAGTTACCCCCACCCTGCTGTGTCTCCCCTCTATTTGCAAACTTACAGCTTTCTCATAATGATGCCTTATTTAAAGTTACCTAGTTTAATAGGCTTTTTTTTTTTTTTTTTAAATTATAAAAACCATTCTCTTCTTCCTTTTCCTTTCTCTTTAGCAATTCTTCTTCCCCAAATCATCAGGGAGATGGAGTTTCACAGGCATCTGGTGAAGTAAGTATCTTTTTCCTAAAACTATTTTATGCTTTCAAGGTCTTACATTTTTTAAGTTTCTGACAGTATTTGAGTCCTTATTCAGGTTTCTAAGTAGTCAGGTTCATGTTCTTCTTAGGTTTTCTTTTTTTAATACTGAAACTTGGAGGCTCCTTTGTTTTGTTTAAATACTCTTTACATGCTAGTGACTTGGTGGTCTGGTCTGGTTTGGTTTGGTTTTGTAAGTTTGACTGGTTTCATCTCTTGTGTTCATTTTCTCTGTTAATAGCAAATTCAGCCTTCAGCTACAACCCAGGAAACACAACAGTGGCTGCTCAAAAACAGATTCTCTTCCTATACAAGACTGTTTTCTAATTTTTCAGGTATGTCTCTGTGTGTGTGAGACATACATGGGAGTGTTTTGTTTACTTGTTTGTGTCTGTGGTTTTATTAAAGAGTTTAAATTTTTTTTAAAGAAGTAAATATATATACACACACATACATACATACATAAAAAGTTGCAGAAAGCAGTGATAATATACAGGGAAGTCCTGTGTTTCCATCACCCACTTCCCACAGTAGTAATATCTTACATGCTTGTCATATACTATAAAAACCAGGAAATTACCATTGATAAAATCTGTAGTTTCACCAGACTTATGGGTAGTCACTTGTATGTATGTATATAGTTTATGCAATAGTTTTTCATTTTACCTTCATTTTGAAATAGTTTTTGCTTTATACCAAGTTCCAAAAGATAATGTGCAATTGGTCCAGTATGCCTTCATTCAGTTTTTCATGTAATTGTAGTACAATAACAAAACCAGGAAATTGACATTGGTATAATATATAGTTAAGTCATTTTTATCACATGTGCAGATTTGTGTAACTACCATTGTGGCTAAGCTACAGAATTAGGCCATTACCACAGTGATCCCTGCTGCTATACTCGTTTTTATCTCTCCCACACTAGACTCTTTTCTGTCTCTATTATTTTTTTCACTTGGAGAGTTATGGAAATGGAATCACAGGATATATAGTTTCCTGGTATTTTTTCTTTTACAAACCTTATGATATTGGCTCTTTTATAACTCAGCATCATAATCTGAAGATTCACCCAAGTTGTTGTATGTATCTATAGTTTAACTCTTTTTTTTTTTTTTTAAAGAGAGTGAGAGAGAGAAGTTTTTAATATTTATTTTTTAGTTATTGGCGGACACGACATCTTTTTTTTGTATGTAGTGCTGAGGATTGAACCTGGGCCGCACGCATGCCAGGCGAGCGCGCTACCACTTGAGCCACATCCCCAGCCCATAGTTTAACTCTTTTTATTGCAGAATAGTATCTCATGGACCCAGGTCTTATGTACTTAAGGGTCTTATATACTGAAGTGTCAGTTCTATTCTTAGTAAGATAAGGAAATACTTGGATGGGATGTTAGAAGGCATCAAGTAGTGCTGCCTCAGGTGGTGTGGAAGGAGGTCCATGTAACAAATAGTAGTGGATACACCAGGTGGGGCAGGGCCATTATCTTCCAGATACATTTGGCACTGGGACCTTTTTCCCACGGAACAACAACATGTCCTGGATAAACATATTCTGAGAAATTGTGAGTCACAGTAAAGTGGCACCTTTGCTTTAGCTTGTGGTAGTATAGAGCCATTGAAACTCAGCTTGGTTGCTTTAAGAGGATGGAACGTGTGTGCACATATCGAGCTTCAAGGAAATCTTAGTTTCACAAAGAATATGGTTTCCTATTATGCTATTTATTGCATTGTTTTTGCAATGAATAGTCATTCCTCATGTAGCTTTTTGTCTCTTCAAAGTACCAGATGGAAGTCACTTGCTAGCTGGGACTGCCTGCCCACCTTTTTTTTTTTTTTTTTTTTAAAGTTGTAGATGGACACACTACCTTTATTTTATTTGTTTGTATGTGGTGGGGAGGATCGAACCCAGTGCCTCACACATATGAGCAAGCACTCAACCACTGAGCTACAGCCCTAGCCCTGGGATCCATATTTTTTATATGATTAAGGAAAAGCCTCTTAAGTGTGGAAAACTAGAAATTGTACAATTTGGGGTGGAGGTGGTCATCTTGAGCTCTTGCAGAAGAAGCAGAATTAAAAGCATAGCACATAGAAAAACCTCCAATAAATATGGAAGGCCCTTGTTACTCCTGTTTGGTCAGTCCATGTTTTTGTCTTGGGAGTTTTAAGCTCTTTTCATTGAGTGGTAATTACATGGTTTAGCCTCCTGCCTTTTCCTTAACCCATGGGCTTCCTCTGGAGGCTGGGCAGGGAGCTAGCCATTGTGCCCTTTTGGTGCATCAACTGAGTCAAAGAACTACAAAAGGTCAGTGAGGAGATGAGGCCTCTTGCTCTGAGCCTTTTGGGCATTCACATTTCAGGAAGGTTTATCCACTTCTCTGCATGGGTTAAAGTTAAGGGTACATATGTGTGTGGGCACATCTCTGGTCACACCTATGAGCCCTGCTTCAGAGGTGTTTTTTTGTAGGCTCCAGTAGAGAGATGAGAGTGCTTGTTTCTCTGACTACAGAATGACTCTCTTAATGTTCATGTCTTGTGGAAGTTATACTTCTCTGATCTTTTTTTCTTTTATAAATTAGAAATTTATTAGGTTCTCATATTCAAGCTCTTAGAGAACTCCATTATCTTATTACATATTGGTAGGAGATACTTATATGGAAGTTATGCCTATATCCCAGAGACTGTTAGTAGAGGGCTAAACATAAAAGATTGTGAATGTATTCAAACATTAATAAGCAGAGAGGAGAATGTGATGAACTCCCATGTAGCCACCCCAAGCTTGGTCAGTCTTGGTTTCACTACTTCCTCTCCCACCTTTCTGCTGTATTTTAAGGTCTGTTGTATCCTTGATCTCTTGTTATTCACACTTGGCAAGTATTTATGGGGGGAAATATGAAGGAATCATGTGATTCTTTGCCATGCTTTCCTATTAAAATTGGCTGCTATGACAGTTATGTTACAGAATGTTTGATGTGACATTAAGTGGCCTAGTCTTGATGTGACATTAAGAGGCCTAGTCCTTGTTCCACTATCGGCTAGTTGTGTCACTCTGGTCATGTTTCTGAAACTCTGGACTTCCATTTTCTCTTTTGTAAAAATAAAACTGAGTAATCTGGGTGATCTCAAGATTTATCTACCTGAGGTCAGAATCAAGTAAAGCCACAGCAGAGCCACTAGGTGAAGCAGGCAGTGAGATCTGGTATTGGGGATAGTCAGTTGTATGGGATCTGCACACTGATTAGATTTACCAGCTTCTGGACTTCTGAACTCCCTCTTGATACAATACAGGCTATTGAAAAACCAGCATTGTCTTTGGCTCTAAAGGACAGGGGATGTGTGTGTGTACATTCAGAATGCCTGACGTTGTTTAGAAGGACATCTAACCATGTAAAAAGAGATGGATGCTTGTGAAGCAGCCAGTGGCATGTTCTTTTTCATTTGAGAAGAGTCTCTTTGTTGTCCTCCAGGTGCCGACTTATTAAAACTGACAAAGGAAGATTTAGTTCAAATTTGTGGTGCAGCCGATGGAATTCGGCTCTATAATTCACTGAAGTCAAGGTAAAATACTGTGGACTGTTTTGCGTGAAATAAGGACATACCTTTCTTCGCGTGGGGGGTTTGGGCAGAATGTGTTTCCACGATAGGTTGGCGTGTGCCTGTGTGCACCGTCGAGCATCGGCAGCATCGTGCTCACGAGAAGACTGTTTTGTGTACACCTTCAGGGCAGGCCCAGATATGATGCAGGCACTGATGAGGGCAGAGGTAGACTGTAAGACTGGTAGCAATGCACATGGGCAGTACTGATTTCTTGAAGACGACTGGGTTTGTTGCCAAGAAAACAAAACTTCTAATTTAGGTGAGCTATACAGAATCTACGGTTTTCAAGGTCATGACTATTATTAAACAGTTATTAAATATGTAAACTTCTAATTGTGAATTAAAATAATAGAACTGTAAACTATGCTGGCTTTTACGATCCATTTACTATCATTGTTATTTCTAGACTTGGGGTGTGAGAATTCCATTAAAATTGAATCACTGATTTTAAATTGCTTACTTAATCTTGAAACTTAAATTTACCAGCATCTGACAGACCATCTCAATGGTTTAGAGTCTGGATCATCATATTAGACCACCTGTGATAGTTGTTGTGAGGTGTGTGGTTTTTACATTTTTATTAGTAAATTATTTTGCATAATGAAATAACATTGTAAAATTTTCATAAGGAAATAGAACTTAGATTCCTATAGTTGTCATGTGTACGTGTGTTCAGGCAGCTTCTCTCCTAGGCTCATCTTGGCATCTTCTGATTGCAGGTCGGTTAGGCCCCGCTTAACCATCTATGTCTGCCAGGAGCAGCCGAGTAGTGCCACCCTGCAAGCGCAGCAGCAAGCTGCAGGCAGTGGAGGCGAGAATGGCAGTGGGACGCCTTACGGTGGGTATTCAGGGTATCTCAACCCTGTCACTTCCTTTCTGCCCAGTTACTAGTGCAGGAGTCTTGATAGTAGTAGGCACCAACTGTAGGGCCATGTCCTTGGGAAAAGAGGAAACTAGCAGTCTTTCTCAAGTTCTCTTTTATATGGCCCCTTGTGCCAGAAATATCTAAACAAGCAAAAGATTAGCTTGAATGCTTTGAGATTTTTATCTGACTTTTTGCCCCCTTAAATCTCACATTTACTGAAATGGCAAATGTACACTGGTGGCTTGATAACCCCCCTGACCCCCCCCCCCCACACAAAAGGAGGAGCACCACTCCTCTCCATTTTACTGACTAGCAAGATGGGGGGACTGCTTAAAATAAAACATGTGCAAAGATGCATCTGTATATCAGTCCTAAGTGTGGACTGGGTGGCACAGTGATCTGTTCATGAGGTGATAGGTCCCTATCAGTGGTAGTAGGCTCTGTGTCATTTTCCATCTGTATGTTAGGAGGCATCTCATCCTGAGGGTTTTTCTTATTTATACAGTATAGCACTGGATTAGAGCAGATCTTGAAAGGCTGGTCCCTTTTCTCCTCTGAATATAGCCTTAAAATAAGTAAGCATTTTTATTTTAAATCATACACTTTCTACTATTTTCCTCTTCTTATGTTTTGAAACAGAAGGCAACATGCTCAGAACTTTAAAGAGAAAGATACATTACAAAATTCAGGCAGTTATTTGCCCTGATAAATAATTTATGGTTGGAATTTTACTGAAAAAACAAAAGGGCAGCAGTCACAATTACAGAATTTTCCATTTGGTGTTAATTTTACTCCAGAAGCCATGAATTTAAGATTCAAGGTACAAGTTCTTAATCTAAAAGGATAAAAATTTTTAAGAATCTCACCACGTATCTCCAAGGTCTTACACATCATTTACATATCATTAAGACTGTAATATTTTAGAGGTTACATCCCCAAACATAGGTAACACATTTAAACTCCACCACTGGAGTGCCACAGAATAGCCATAGAATGTATGTTAATGATAGGTATGGCTGTGTTCCAGTAAAATTTATTTAGGAAAAAATAAGTGGAGAGAGCTGGGATTGTGCCTCAGTGGCATTGTGCTTATCTGGCACATGTGAGGCACTAGATTCGATCCTCAGCATCACATTAAAAAAATAAAGGTATTGTGTCTGTAACAAAGGTTTCTGTACTCATAAATCCACACACACAACAAGGAACACACCCTTATTTACGGAAACAAAGTTCTCAGCAGTGGTATTTTTGATCCATGTCTAGCTTGACTCTGTCGTTAAGCAAGACCCGCATGAGTCAGACACTGCACATGCACACTCTGCAGGTGATGTCTGCTGGTGACTTATATGTGCCAGGAATGCAGAATGCTGGATGGACTCTGGCTAGGGTATTCTGTAAAGAAGTATCAACCTTCATTGTCTGTCTGTAGCCTTTCATGTGATATCTTCTACATTATTTTAAATTTGTGTGTGTGTGTGTGTGAATATTGGGGGTGGGTACCAAGAGCTTTCATTCCTTAGAAATTCCCAATAGTAGGATTATTGGATCAAAAATAATGACCCCTTTAGGGCTCTTTTTGTATATTACCAGAAATATAAACATTTTAAAAACAACTTTCTTCAAGTATGATTTGTATACCATAAAAATTCTTTTACTGTAATATGCAGTTCAATGGTACTTCAGTTAATTTACAGTTTATAGCCATTGTTGCAGTCCAGCTTGAGTCCCATTACCCCAGAAAGACCCCTGTACCTGTTTGTAGCCCATCCTAACCCCTACCCCATTTTTTGGTACCTGGGATTGAACCCAGGGTCGTTTAATCATTAAGCCACATCCCCAGCCTATTTTTATTTACTTATTTTTTTGGGGGACAGGGTCTTGCTAAGTTGCTCAGGGCCTCCCCACTAAGTTACTGAGGCTGGCCTTGAAGTTGTGATCCTCCTACCTTGACCTCCTGAGGGCTGGAAGCACAGGGATGCACCACCATGTCCAGCTTCCCTGTTCATATTTAACTTTTGAATGCAAGAGACATCAGTGCAGAAAAATATAAATAAAAATTTAAACCTTAAATCATTTTGTTAATGTTAAGTTATACATGCAAACATAAATAATGTATTATATTTCTGATGGGTAGTTTGATATTTTAAGGTAGTAAGGGGGAAAAGAAACGTTAATTTGGTCCCATTATAAATTTTAAATTTTATTTTGATACTTTGAAAGATGTATTTCTATGGATCAAGTAGGAAGCAGATCAAAGATTATGGGTAATATGCTGTTTTTTTTTTTTTCTTTCTTAAATTTCAGTTTACCATGCAATCTACTTGGAAGAAATGGTTGCCTCAGAAGTTGCGCGAAAACTTGCGTTGGTGTTTAATATTCCTCTCCACCAAATTAACCAGGTTTACAGACAGGGTCCCACTGGCATCCACATTCTTGTTAGTGATCAGGTAAATTGGATAATCATCCTCATTCATTTTTCCCTTTCATACTGATATTTACTTTTGTACGTATTCTTGAACTATAGAAAATAATTCTGTGTTGATCTCTTTCCAAATACTCATGAGAATCATTTCCAAAGATTTAGTGATCAAATTTGTAAGAATTTATAATCAAGAATTTTAGTGATAATAAGGAACACAAGTCAAAGAAAACTGGCTTATCCTCCCCACAACCCTTTGCATTCAGATACTCATTTCAGGACTTTGAAGGTTAGACGCAGGCTCTGTCCCTTTTTATGAGGTGGACATTGGTTATTTTCTCATTTTGGCCATTATGGCCACCTTAAAAAAAGCCATGAAAGTTTAGAAGTACAACCCACCTCCCAACTCCATGTTCAGAGCAAGTAATCATAGAATAATAACATGTACTTTGTTTTAGTCAACATTAACAGAACTATAAGGAAGTGCTCCCCATAGATCACAGAATGACTGACCAGATCCTCAGGGACAGTGATGGCAGGGATGGTCAGAATAAGGTCTTGCGAGTGCAGCAGACACACATTTTCACTACCTCACACTGGCTTCAGGAAGTATTTTGGTAATTTGAATTCTGTACTTGTGCAAGAATAATATATAGACTATAATATTTTCCTTTAACTGATTTTAAATCATTTCTGTTCATTTAAAAAGGGACAGTAATATCTTAACTGTACTTATACGTGTGCTTTACTCTTCTAGATGGTTCAGAACTTTCAAGATGAGAGTTGTTTTTTATTCTCTACAGTAAAAGGTACTTTGTACATGTGTGTCTTTATACTCAAATTATGAACAATATTGTGTGCCTCTGATTAGTTCCCCTTTTTTGTGCTTACTCTTGAAAATGCTCTCTCTACTAATTTTTAAGAATTAGAGAAATGAATCAACAATGTTTTTAAGGACTATAATGGAAGTTAACTAGCAAATGAGGAAAAGGTGTCAGTCTTTCTAGATAACTGGGAAAAACTTAGTTCATTCAGTTAACATTTTACTGAGCACTGTTTTCAGAAATTTAATGCTTAGTGAATGTTGAACAAAACAAAGAGTCCGTGTAACTCCCACTCTAGTGGGGAAAACAAACCAAAATTGGCCAAACTTACCAACATTTTAAGTGCCAAGAAGGAATTGGAAAGTCTGTGGGGTGTTTATGGATAAGGGGAATCTGGAATGGAGGACATGGAACAGTTAAAGAAGGCTTCTATGAAGAGGTGTCTTGAAGGATGAGGAGCTGGCTATAGGAACGGTGTCCTAGGGCAAATGATTCTATCAAGGCCTGGAAGAGGGTTGTGTAGCTGCCATGTAGTATGTGAGGGTGAGTAGAGCAAGGTGGGGGTAGGGTTTTGCATTCAGGACTGAGGTGATGGTAGTTTGGATTTTAGTTGAAATGCATTGGAAAATCAGTGAAGTTTAAACAAAGTAGTAATGTGATTAGATTTTCCTTCTACTTTCAAAATGGGGGGCATGAGAAGACCACAAAACTGGAGGCAGGAGATGGCCATCCAGGCAAGAGGTAATGATTTATAGACTGAGCTCCACATTTGAAGGAGTAGTAGTTGTAATTGCCAGTTTCTTGTTGAGAGTTACCATTTGGGGTATGTCAGGTAGTCACTTAATGGTGCCATTCTGGGTCTGAATAAAGAGGTCTGGGTTTAAAATATAAATTTAGAAACCTTTGGCTTTTTAGAAGTTATAAAATTGAGGTCATTGGAGGAGACAGTATGGAAAGAGGGCTCAGGTGAACTCCAACATTAAAAGATTAGGTAGAGTGTTTTTAAAGGCCAAAGAATTTGAAGCGATCTATGTTCATAGATTGTTTTAAAGGGCAAGTGGGTTAAGATCCCAAACCAGGCTTAGCACAACTTTCCCTAGAAGAGGAAAATGTCATGCATTACTTACTCTTTCCTGGTGGTCACTCTTTTTTTACTTTGTGCCTGATGTGTCACATATGACATCAAGTTACCTGCACTTTTGAAGTGATGTCTTATGTGGACTGAACTACATTCAGTGACCTGCAGGGCTGAATTGTAACCAGGACCGGTTCACCTGTACTTTTCTGCTCAACTTTTACTCTGTAAAACTCATTGCGTTAAAAAAAAAAAAAAAGGAAACTCATACTGTAATTGTGTAGTTGTGAATTCAGTAGACATTTCAAACTTAGGATTTCCCTTAAAATCTGTTTTTCAGACTTGTGTACATTAAAAAAAATCATTTATCTAAAATACCTTTAATGCTCCTCATCATTTATGGAGGCCATCAGGCAAAAGTTGGATATATTTTTAAATGTTTCAAATCTGCCTCCAAGGAGTTAAAAATTTTTTTCTAGGAATGATAGATGTTTGCACCCTCAGGTTGTGTATTTTCTGTAGGGTTGACTTGGCCCTTGCAGTGTTTTCACCTGTTCAGCTTCCAACTTGTGCTCTCTCTGGCTTACAGATAAGTTCCACATCACACTGCAGAACTGGCAAGCAGTATGGGAGCAGTGTACTGAGAAGGGCACAGCCAGTCTTTAGAAAGCAGAATGGCTAAAAGGGAAATGTGGACATGATGCCGCCTAAGAGAAAAAGCTGGAACAAATGAATGTTTTTCTCTAGAATTAGTTGAAAGTAACCTCTGAGGTGGGGGTTGCAGAGTTTTTTTATTTTAGTGTTCTTGCTTTCCTAAGCTAAGTTAAAAAATTTTTTAACTTTTATCCTTTTTCTGCAGCTGAAAATAATGATGGTATCCACATAATTTTGAAGTGATGTCCTATGTAGACTGAACTATATCCAGTACCAAATAAAGTCACGCTAAAAGTGTGTGAAGACTGAATCCAAGAAGTCTTGGGATTGGATTTTACTATATGAAATGTTTCATATTGAAAACACAGATGACCTTTCTAATGAGTTGTATGAGAGGCAAATCTCACTGTCACTGCCATAGCCAAGCATCCTCGTGAGAGTGAGCACGTCGGGACAGCGTGCATCCAGCTCTGGAGGCCGTGGGGCAGGCGTGGCTACCTGCTTCTCTGGCAGAGGCCAGTAGATACAGTTCCCAGAAGCAGCCCTTGGGCTTTTTACACTGTATGCGGTTTGGAAATGAATGTAAAACTTAACCATGGGCATTTACCTATCTGTGCCAGTTTGGTTTCTATTACCTGAACCTTATGCTGACCTGGGGAGGAGATGGGGGACAGTGCTATTGTGGAGCCAGAAAGGATTCCTTCAGCAGAGAGATGGACTGTGCTGATGGTCAGGTAAGAGGCTCGGCACCTTCTCAGAAGAAATCATGTCTAAGGGTATAGGTTTGAAATGATCATGCCAGACTGGAGAGGATCCAAGCCAGGAAGATGGGCTTGAAGCAAACTGCATTATCAGGAGTACCTTGGTGAGAGGATCAGTGTAAATCCTAATAGGTACAAAGACTTGTGTTTTTGCTTTGTCACAGATTTATTGAATAACGTTTTTTGCTTCTGCTTCCAATTTTAGCATTTTAGTTTCTGGTTTTCATTTTTTTGAAGCCTCCTTGCCTTTTAGACTCGTGGTTTTCTTTCTTGTTTCCTTCTTATTTCTCCACCCCCTCACTCCTGAGCATTTTTGAAGACCTACCCCAGACGTTGGAAATAGGTGACATAGGTAGGAGGCACAAAGTTTTATTGTTGGTAGCTTCTGAGTTGGTGTTATGGGATCTTTGTTATGAACAAGATGAGATTTTTCATGGAAACACTAGATATCATAAATCTAACACTAAAATGTACCAAAAAAAAAAAAAAAAATCCCTTGGTCTCTTCTTAAGATACTGAGCTTCAGTACAATCATGAATAAACATTCGGATTCGGATTGAGAGGTTTTTAATAACCACACAATGGCTTTTTCTTAAAGTATGCATCTTTCATAAAAAGTGTGCTAGCAACTTCCCCCCCAACCCACCAAAGGGAATCCACTGGTTTCTTCTTTTGCTCCTCCCTTCACTCAGAGCCTTCCCAGAATTCATTGAGCATTTTTTGAGGCCTATGGTGTATCAGACTGAATTTTTAAACTTTTTAATTACAGCATCTCTGTTTACTAAGCTCTTTTGGCTTTGAATGTACCATTTGAGCCTCGTCTTTGTTCAGGTGGAAATAGGAATGATTAATTGTAAGTTTGAAATCTCTCCCAGAAGACAAATGACTTCACTAGGTGAAAGCTTTGACATTTTGGCTTATTCATAAAGGGGTTAATTATTTGCTACAAAGAAGCACTGTCTGAATATTTTCATCTTAGTTCAGAAATGTGTTACTCCTATAGACCATGTAGGAGGAGAGTTTTCCTTTCTGTCCTTCTCCCCTTTGCTTTTGTGTGACCACATGTTTTCTGTACCAGTCACTTGGTTCTTGAAAGAAGTAAGCTTCTCAGTTGTTTTAGAGTTTTGCTTGTCTATTTAGCATTCCTTTGGGTCTCATGATTTATGGAACAATAAATGTCATTTAATGCTGTGTGCTATTTTGAATTCATCAGGTTTTAGAAAAGTGGGATAAAATACAAGCTCATCAAACTTGAAATTAATACTGAGTGGCATTGACCGTTAGTCTGTCCCAGTAAAACAGGTTAAATAAATTATGGCACCAGCAAATTTGCTACTTTGTTTTTTTAATAGTAGGATGTACACATTTCAGTACAATAAATGTTTTCCGATTGTTTTGCAAACGTGTCTCATTTAAAATGTCAGTTCTTGCTAGTTTCACTTCAAGTTGACTTTCACCTTGCTAGTTTCATCTCAAGTAGAGTCATAGAACCAAGAGAGCCACTGTCCTGAGCATACCTCAGAACAAATATTGTAAGAGGCTAAGCTCTTGTAGGTTTTTTCCCTCAAAACTAAGGACAGGTTATTCTACAAACTGTTCTTTACAGAGGAAACAAACCTGGTTTTCTCACTTGAGGTAACCCTCTATTTTTATAAATGAGGTCATGGATCATTTAGCATCAAGTCCAATAGCAGTGAGAGGTTGTATCCTAACTCAAGAGAGAATGTATGGCAGTCTCTGGTCATTAGAAAAAAGAATCTTCTCCAGTGCTGGGGATTAAATCCAGGGCCTCACACATGGCCAGGTAAAGTACTCTACCAATGAACTATAATCCCAGCTTTAAATTTAATACAAACTAATCATTTTAACAAGTTTGTTACATGCTCATTTGTTCACTTAAGTGGCTTCATCAGTTATGTCCTCCATCCCTAACAGTGGCGCAGATTATATATATAATATAAAAATAACTGCTATGGCATTCATATAACCAGGAAATACTGGAGTTTATCAAAAAGCAATAAAATACTAAGTACTTTAATGCTTACTCAATCTTGCTAAGTCAATTTATGGGGGGTATATATTTATCTGCCATCTTTGAATGCAGCTGAGGCATTTGTCCCCTTAAAAATGCTTTTATCATTGTCTATAAAAACATAGAAAGCATTTTTGTTTTTATTTCTCATGAGTTCTAAGAAGTGGTTGCAAGGACCAGCTGCCATTAACACTTGAGTTCACAGTGAAGGTGGTAATGGGTTCCTAATCTTCAATAAAGATCACAAATGTGGACAGTGCAGAGCAGGACTCAACATATAGCATCATATCTTATTTCAGGTAACATTAGGAGGTCTGAATTTGGAAAACGGTTTTACTCAGATTTATGTGCCAGAAAATAGCAATAAAACCCTCTGAATTAAGTATTGCAATGGTTTATTCATTTTTATATTGTGAGTCCAAAAGGTGCCAACACTTTTCTGAGTTTTAAGTGTGTAAAATTTTTGAATAGTTTTGGTGTAACCTGATTTTTAAAATTTAAAAATAAAAAAAAAAAATCACATCCATTCTACATGCATCCATTCATTGTTTTTAATTGTATACTAGAGATAACTTAAGCCTTAATTCCTGTTTCTTTAGATCCCCCATATTTGGTGAGAAGTATGGAATAATTAGCTTTATTCCCTATAATAAAAATGCATTATGTGCTGTAGCATATGCCAGAGCTTGTAATTTCCAATCAGGCAACACAAACTGAGTTGCTTTTGTTTTGTTTTGGTCCCTGGAGGTGGATATGACAGGCTGATAACAAAGGTGAAGACCCTGCTTCACCCAGTTTAGAGTCCTTATTTCTTTGGTGTCTCATGGAAACCTATTATCATGCCTTCCACATAAGTTTCTACATATAAAACTATTTGGGTATTATGAATTTGCATAACAGTCACTTTGATAAAATTGCTATTTAATCTTCAAAGTGAAAAGTCCAGCTAATCAAAATGTAATTACTGTGGATTAAAGTAGGCCACTGGCTTAAGGATCAGGTAGAAAATCAACAGGTTATATTTTTCTGCTCAATTTGTGCTAACACTGATGGTCTGATTGAGGAATGCTGATAAAGCCAAGGGTAGGACTTTTGTACCGAGATAGGTACCCACCTCATAAGGGATCCAGGTTTCTTGTGTGATCTTGGCTGCATCAAGACCACTCTTGCCATATGTTAATGGACACAAAGTTTTGATTGCATCACAGCAAAATAAAGGTGAAACACTATCACCAGAGTTACTCCAATCCATACTGAAGGCTTTTACCTGTAAATGCCTTTCCCAGTGGAGAAGCAAGAGATTTGGGTAATGATGGAGTAATCATGAAGACTGGTCTTCTCTACAAGAAGAGACACCTCATCACCCCTTGGGCCTGAGCAGTGGGCTGTCAGAGAATAACACAGCACCTACACAGTCGCTGTCCACTTCCTGCCACTGCTGTTGGTGGGGTGACAGGAGCAAAGTAGGCATGGACTTTGACATGAGGGAGCTGAGCCTGGAAGTAGAAAAAGTGGAGTAGTCTTTACCCTGGTATTTTGGGATTATAACTACTTTTCCCTTAATATTATTAGAGAAATTATTATTTCTGCTTAATGGCAGTAACTGGCCCTATGGGCAAACTTGAGTGAAGGACCCTGGATAGGGCTGCTTTGTGGCGAAAAACGATATATGTGAATTATATGAAGACTATGTCCTGCCTCTTACTGATAATCATCTAAGCTGTTTTCCTTGGAGGGAGAGCCTCTTTTTATTACTGGTGATTGAACCCAGTGTGCTTTTACCACTGAACTACACCCCCAGTCCTTTTTTGAGATAGGGTCTTATCAAGTTGCCCAGGCTGTCCTCAAGCTTGGGATCTTTCCCAGCCTCCTGAGTTGCTAGGATTACAGGTTATGTGTCACCATGCCTGGCCGATGGAGGTGCTATGAGGGTGCTGATCAGACTACATGGAACATCTCCCCCAGACCCACTCAAATTGAACTTCAGAGTGGGATCTAAACAATGGGATTTTGAAGCAGTCTAAGATGACTGACAAATGAGTAAACCAGATAAGTTTGCATAACTATTGGCTTAGGATAGAATGGAGAAAGTGAATGTTGATTTGGGGAGGGAAACCGGAGCTTAAACTCAGGGGCACTCGACCACTGAGTCACATCCCCAGCCCTACTTTGTATTTTATTTAGAGACAGGGTCTCACTGAGTTGCTTAGCGCCTCGCCATTGCTGAAGCTGGTTTTGAACTTGCAATCCTGTCTCAGCCTCCTCAGCTGCTGGGATTACAGGCGAGTGCCACTGTGCCCAGCTGGATATTGATTTTTTAAAAAATGATGTTCAGTTTATTAATTGCTGAGATTCATCTCATCACTACATCTCATTACAGACTATGATAGGTGGAGGGTGGGGCTGGAAACCGAACCCAGGGCCTTGTGCATGCTTGGTAAGCACTCTATCACTGAGCTACCTCCCCAGCTCTGGATATTGATTTTAATGTTTGATTCTGTTGCTCAGAAACGATGTCAGGTTGAGCCCACTCCCCAGCCCCAAGCCTACCCGCATCCGCTTGATGCCTGCTCGAGTGACCTGCTGGCAGTCATACAGCTCAAGGCGCTCCAGGCCACGGCAGTTCTCTAGATGTTCCAGAGCCACGTCAGTGATGAGAAGACAGTTGTCCAACTCTAATACCCGCAGCCTCTCATGGCCACAGGTGCTGTTGCTCAGGTGCAGGATCCCATCATCTGTGATGAGCTCACAGTGAGAAAGGCTCTGGAGCAGGAAGAAAAAATGTTCATAAGACCCTCTTATTTCAAGACTCAAGGCCTACGTAAAATCAGGGAAAGTTGCTCATGAAATGTCCCAGAATAACTGCTAATGTGGCTTGATTATGTCCCCTAAAAAGCATGTGCTAGAAACTCTATCCCCAATGAAACTGTTGCAAGTAGAGCCTAATCAGAGGGGAGCTATTTAGGCCATGGCGGCTCCACCTCTACTGAGTGAATTGACAAAAAAGATTTAGAAAGGGCTCAGGGCTGCAAAGTCTCTCTTCCTGCCCCACTTTTGTCCCCTGCTACAAGATGACACAACAAAAAGGCTCTACCAGATTCTAGAACTATGGGGAATAAATTTCAATTCATTCTAAGTACCCAGTCCATGATACTGTATAACAGCAGCACAATGCTTTATGAGGCATATGAGGCAGGGTCAAAGGAAATGCTGAGGCCCTTCGTTACGGGGCTTCAGGGTAAAATTTCAAAGTTTACTTCCCTGAGAGCAGTTTATCCAATTCTCCATTTGAGTGGAGGCAGTGGAATAAATGATTCTAATGTTCTTGTTCACTAGAAAATTGTGCAAACAACCATGACTCAGATGGGCATCTTTGAAGGCTGTGAACAAATGGAGCTTGAACAATGTGATCTGGCTTTACTAGCCCCTTGGGCCACAGCTCAAGGTTGCAGAAGGTTACTCAGATTCATTTATATAGCTTAAAGTATCATTTCTGCAATTCTACAAGGGTCTCCTTACTGAGTTTCAGGGACCTGACAGTGTCCCCATGCTTATCAAATTTAATATTTAATTCAACATAAAAATTCTTCAGAAGAAAACAAAAAGTACTGCATTGTTTCCTATTGTTCATTTGTTCCTTCAAATACATGAGTTCCAACTGTGCCAGGCTGTGTGTATGCATTGTTGAAGCCCAGATTGGACAGTTGAAATGAAATCCACATTTAATATTAAACAGAAGCTGAGGTAAGTGCTGGGAGTATATGACTGTGGGATTTGATCTAAGAGACCAGTGAGTTGCTATCTGAAATGCTCAAAAAGATGTCCAGTATCACTACATGCCTACTAGAAGGGCTAAAATAAAAATATTAAAAAAATAAGTGTTGGCAAGGATGTGGAAGAACTGAAGTTCCTGTGTTGCAATGGCAATTGTATATTCTTAACTGAAATGCATGTTAAACAAAATCTGATAATATAGCAATACTGGTTATAATAGCCCCAAACTAGAAACCACTCAAATATTCAACAATAGAAAGGATAAGTAAATCACAATAGGCTCATTCTAGAAAGCAATGAGGATGAATAGCAGGGCACCGTGGCATCTTGACTTGGAAGACTGAGAGGAGAATCAAGTTCAAAGCCATCTCAGCAACTTAGTGTGGCCCTAAACAACTTAGCCAGACCCTGTCTCAAAAAAAGGGTTGGGGATATGGCTCAGTGGTCAAGCACCTCTGGGTTCAATACCCAGTACAAACACACACACAAGATACAATGAGTGAACTTCACAAATGTAATATTGAGTAATGAAACCAGACAAAAGTACACATGACTCCACTATGTAATTTCATTAGTAAAATACAAAAACAGGAAAAACTAATACATGCTGTTGGAAGTCACCACCTTTGGGAGATTAGTAACTGGAAGGGAGCAGAATGTGGCTTTCTTGGATCATGGTAATGCTGATCTTTAGTCTGGGTGTGTCCGGTTTATGGAATTGCATTAATCTACACATCAATGATAAGTGTACTTTTCTGTATATTTTACTTCAATAAAAGTTAAAATTGAAAAAAATTAGCCACTCTGCCAAATTGTGTGGAAAGGTGGATACAATAGAGAGCAAGTGGGAGGCTATTACATTCTTGGAGGTAAGGAAATGCCCTGTAGTTTGGACCTGAATGAGTTGTGGTGGCAGGGTGGGAAGTTCTGCAAAATGGAAAGAGAACCAAGACATTGACACTGAATATAAGAAACAGGCAGGTGAGTCTAACCTAGAGGGAAGGGAAGCTAGGGGAGAAATTCTGTCAGACAGCGAACCTTGAACCTTGATTCTTTTGTGTGCTCTGTCTTAACCCTATGGGGTATGTTTCCTTTCTCAAGAATCCAATCACACTACACAATTCTATACAAACCAATATCTTGTAATGAATATCTATGCAATCACTGGTTTTTGTCTTTTAGAACTGACTTCTGGATAAAGCCAGAAGACTTCGCTAAAGTTTTTCAGGAGGCCACTTAAGATAGTCAAAATCCTTATTTTTTTATTTACCTACTTATAATAAATTGCAACTAGAAAAAAACGTGTGTGTATATATATATTTTTTAGTTTGGAGAAAGAAGACAACTGAGGTAATGTATGGATACTAATCTCTTCATCGCTTTAATACAGAGAAGCTGAAGAACTAAGAAGTTAACATTAGCGTCTAAGACCATGGAGATACTCCTACATTAATTGAAAGACTAATGTACTGGTATATGCAAATATTCATATAAATTTAAAAAACTTGTTTAAGAAAAAAATCAAAGAAGCCCTTAACCTGTTCTCTGAGTCCAAAGGAAAATATGCTGCCAACATTGTTCACAGAGCAAATACACTGCTTATTTTACACAAACTAAGCAACCAATAGTCAAAACTATCTACTTTTGGGCCCCCACTGTGTACGTATTATCTCAATTTATTCTTCAGGCTAACTGTGCAAAGTGTTATTCCCATTTTACAGATAAAGACTTTGCAGCTCAAAGAAGTTGAGACTTGCCAATTACAGCCAGTCAGGGTGGTCTTAAATTTTATCCCTGCCCTGCTGTCTCATCCCTGGCAGATGACAGAGGGGTTAGGCTGTTTTTATTAAGGGCAAACGGAATTATCTATTATTGCACAGAGTTTCTTTAGAACATAAGTTGACCACAGAGGTTATCCCTGTGGAAGGAACATAGTAACTCGAGTTTTTAAATAGGAGTGAGATTTTTCTCTTATATTCTTGGCATTTAAAAAAAAATTTTTTTCTTTCGAATTTTGTGATTCTTTTTCTGCATTAGATTCTTTCTCTGTATTATATGAGCATGTAATTTTTGTTCTTTAGCCTGTTAACATGGTGGATTATATGGATTAGTTTTCAAATATTAAACTAGACTTGTATCCTTGAAATATTTCAACTCTGTTGGTCATGTGTATAATTATTTTTAATCTATTGATGAGTTCTATTTACTAATATTTTGTGAGTTCTATTTGCTAATATTTTATTAAGATCATTTGCTCCTATATTTATGAAGAATACCAGTCTGTAGTTTTGGTTTTTGGTGCTGTTTTTGTTTGGTTTTAGTATCAGGGTATTACTGACCTTATGAGTTATGAAATGTTTTCTCATCCGTTTTATAGAAGAGATTGTATGGAATTGGTTTTAATTCCTTATGTTTGGAAGAATTCTCCACTTAAACAATCTGGGATGAACATTTCCTTTTTTTAATATTTATTTTTTAGTTGTAGTTGGACACAATACCTTTATTTATTTATTTATTTATTTATTTTTATGTGGTGCTGAGGATCCAACTCAGGGCCCCACACATGCTAGGCAAGCACTCTACTGCTGAGCCACAACCACAGCCCTGAACATTTACTTTTTGAGGGTTTTTTAAATCAAATTTTATGTCTTTAGCAGTTACAGGGCTATTAAGATTATTTATATATATATCCCAGCCTTCTATTTTATATTGACTTTGTTTTGAATGTCTATTTCACCTACATTGTCAAATTTATACAGTTGTTTCTAGTACAGTTTGAGCATCCCTAACCTGAAATCGGAAATGCTCCAAAATCTGAAACATTTTGAGCATCAGCATGAGGCAATAAATGGAAAATTCCATATTTGACCTCACGTGAGACAGGTCACAGTAAAAAATGCAGGTTCACTAAAAATTTTACCAGGTATATATTAAACAAAATGAATTTTCTATTTAGATTTGAGACCTACCCCCCAAATATTTATTTACTTACATATACACAGACATTCCAAAATTGGAAGAAATGTGAAATCCAAAACACTTTTGGTCCCAAGCATCTCAGATACTGGCTACTTTACCTGCATTCCCTTAATTTTCATTGGATGTCTGCCTTTGGATGTCTGGAGATTTTGTGTGTGTGTGTGTGTGGTGTGTGTATATATATTGTGTATGAATATAGACACAATAATATGTAGATGGACACAATGCCTTTATTAATTTTTTTATGTGGCACTGAGGATCAGAACCCAATGCCTCATACATGCTAGGCAAGCACTCTACCACTGAGCTACAGTCCCAGCCCCCAAATTTCATTTTGATGTTAGCCATTGCGTCTTCTCTTTATCAGTCTTGCTAGAGGCTGTTTTCCTTTCCAAAGAGTTTTCTGTTTCATGGGTTTCGCTCTGTAGTTTTTTTTTCAACCTCACTGAATCCTACTATCATTTTTATTATATCCTTCATGTTTTGGTGGTGATTTTTTTTCTTTCTTGATGGGGAAATTTAAAATTACTGATTTTATTTTTTAATTCAATTTTTAATTTTTTCCTTTACACATAATATTGAGGTTCATTTTGATAAAATTATATAAGCATGCAATGTAATTTGCTCCAATATCCTCTTTTTAAATGTAAGCATTTTAGTGCCATAAATCTCCCTCTTAGTACTGCTTTAGTTATACCACAATTTTTTTTTTTTTTTAATTTTAATTTGTGTGTGTATGGTGCTGGGGATTGAACCCAGGGCCTTGTGCATGAGAGACAAGCACTCTACCAACTGAGCTATATCTACCAACTGAGCTATATCCCCAGGCCCACAAATTTTAATGTGTTATATTTTCATGTTCATTCAGTTAAACTTATTTTTAAAAATTTTTCCTTGAGACCTCCTCTTTGACCTAGGATTATTTAGAAAATGTTTTGTTTAGTTTCCAAATGTTCAGAAATCTTCCTGTTATCTGTTTTGATTACCATCTTTAGCATTTTCAAGGGTAC